ATAGCTGCAATAGCAGATAGCTGAACAGCGAATCATGAGCAGCTTCCCATCCACAACAGGTTGCTGAGGTTCTGGCCATTTTCACAGGAACAATGCAAGAGTATATTAAATCAGTAGCAGTGTGCTGGAAGAAAGTATGAATGTCAGCTTCTCTGGATCAGATATCTATACCTAACCAGGGGGTGGGAGAGAGCAGGAACTCTTTCTTTTGCTGCTTCTTTCTGTGCATGGAAGGAAGAATGCAGGAGGGAGGATGTCCTTCAATGACTAGACATGCTTGTTAGTCCCTCTCTCACTGCATGTTGTCTTCTCTTTTGTTTCCAGGATGTCTTCCAAGGTCTCCCCTGCTCCCCTCCTCTCCAAACCACCCCTGCAGGTGAAAGAAGGCTCACTGGTGGTCAGATGGCTAAGTTTAGTTTCTGGCCTCCAGGTATCTGCATTCCTGATGGATATTGTGGCCTTGCCGATGTGCATTGCCTCAACAGCCATTGTCAACTGGCGAGTATGGCGTGTGGACAACATCAAGGGAATAGGCTCTGGAAACATCTGGATTGGAATCTGGCAGGTCTGTTTTTTGAAAGACCCTTCTAACGACGGCAACTCTTTTTGGCATTGTGAAAATCTCAATGAGCAACATCCAACCCTCCCAAAGGAAATTTTTATTGCACAGGATTTAATGGCCTTAGCTTCCATTCTGAATTCAGCGGCCCTAGGATTAATTTTGTTTGCCTTGTACAATGTGTTCAAGCCCAGAAAACATAAGGATTTTGTGTTAACCTTTTTTAGGCTTGCAGCTCTCCTGAACTTAGTTGCAGGGATACTCGTCCTGATTTCCGTGATATGGAACATGTCTGCTGTCTTACAAAATGGGGAAATTGTCTTCCCAGAAGCTTTTGAATTGCCTCAAATTCCCAGCGAGCAGCATATTGGACCTTCTATTTATCTAGGCTATATCGCTGCGGGTTTCCAGCTGCTGAGTGCAGCATTGGTTGGGATCGAGATATGTTGCATCAGGACCACCTCAACAGATACATCTCAAATAGAAACTGTGGTGGTGATTACCCCAGGAAGTGGGGTGAAAAGCCAGAGTCTAACTATTTGTTCGAAGTGTGGTTCTCTGCTAGACCTGGTAATTCAAGAGAAATCCTCCGCAGTGGAGATGGAGGAAACCCATGTGGAAGATCATGTCATTCCAGAAGAATCCTGCGCAGTTGAGATGGAGGAAAGCTGTGCAAGTGATCTTGTCATTCCAGAAGAATCCTGCGCAGTTGAGATGGAGGAAAGCTGTGCAAGTGATCTTGTCATTCCAGAGGAATCCTGCGCAGTTGAGATGGAGGAAAGCTGTGCAAGTGATCTTGTCATTCCAGAGGAATCCTGCACGGTTGAGATGGAGGAAAGCCATACACCCCAAAGGTCACCTGAAGGACATCAAAGCCCTCCTGATGTCCCCAAACATACGATTATATATGTGATTCCCTACAACAGGGAGTCATAAACTATCAGATTCAGATCCACGCAGATCGCTCCATACATGCATGGATCTGCGTGGATCAGGATCTTATAGTTTTGTTTTGGGACTTCAGGAGGGCTTTGATGTCCTTCAGGTGAGGAGGCCTCTTTTTTATGACTAGTATTTATTTATTTATTAAAGATTTTGTTGATTTACAAAAGTGTGCAATGTCTCTCTCTCATGTTTTCTCCCCCCCATGAAACATTTTTACAAATCATTTTCATTTGTTGAGACATTAGGAAGCAAAGGGGAAAGAGGTGGAGCGGGGGAAAGATGGGTGGGGGTGGGGTCGGGTGGCGATTTTTCTATTTTGCTTCCTATATGTAGGGTTTGGTGTCAGGGTTGTTTGTGCAGGTTCTTTGCTGTTCGCTTGTGTTCCTTTGGTGGTGAGAGAGGTTGGGGTTGGCCTAGGGTGTGGTTATTCATTTGTAGTTGGCTGTGGTGGTCTTTGTTTTCATGTGTGAGTGGGGTGGGTGGGTGTTTTGGATTAGCAACAAATCTACTTATTCCAATACCTCCCTTAAAGCAGTAGTGGATCACCACCAAGAAGGCGCCACCACTGAGAAGGGCTCTTGCCTGGTTCCCTGTAACTTGGCTGCTCCCAGAGCTGGGGGAGGGGGGGGAATAATATTTTTTCCCTTGATTTCCCCCTCTGAAAACTAGGTTCACCCTATGATCAGGTGCGCCCTATAGAGCGAAAAATACGGTAGTTATCATAACAAAAGAGTGGCCAGGATGCCATTTTTAATCTAATCAGCTAACCTGCCAGACAGGAAGAAACAACACACCCAGATTTCTGCTCCTTCTCTGATGTATTAAGGGGGTGGTCTGGGCTACACTCCTTCTGTGATGTATTCTGTGATGTATTTATGATGCTTCTGGGGGTGGTCTTGTTCTCCAGGGCGGGCAATTTCAAATGTCTATATAAGGGCTTGTGCGCCTGTGCTAAGAGGTCTCCCCCCCGCCCCCTGTGTGTGAGGGGAGCACCCTGTTGCAGCAGCTTTAATAAAGATCAGGCTTACTAGCTGCCTTGCTTCTCAATGTTCTCTGGTTGGCCTCTGTTATTTTCTCCTACCGATAGAGAACCTAAAAAGAGGACTCTGTATGGGCTCTTGGGTACCCCATAAGGGGAAAAGAGCAGGTTTTTCCTTATAAGAAATAATAAACATGCTCATATCAAAACAAGATTCTGAAAATAAGACAATATTGCTTCTGATGGTAAAAGGTAAATATAAAGGACCTTGGACGGTCAAGCCCAGTCGAATTCGACTATGGGGTGCGGCGCTCATCTTTGCTTTCAGGCAGAGGGAGCTGGCATTTGTTGACAATACAGTGGTACCTCGGGTTAAGAACTTACCAGAGGTTTGTTCTTAACCTGAGGTACCACTTTAGTTAATGGGGCCTTCCGCTGCTGCTGTCACACCGCCGCCGCGCAATTTCTGCTCTCATCATGAAGCAAAGTTCTTAACCCAAGGTACTATTTCTGGGTTAGCGGAGTCTGTAACCTGGAGCATCTGTACCTGAGGTACCACTGTATTGCCTTTGATGGACAGCAGCTACTCAAAATGGGTCAGGCACCACAACACATTTGCTAGAGTGTTTTTCAAAGAAAACCAATGTTCAGCACTTTGGGGTTCACCTTTCCTTTCTTTTTCTTTTTCTGTTCCATGTTGCCCAGCCAACATAAAGGAAAGTAGGAACATGTAAATCTAGTAAGTCTACAGGAGTTGTAAACTTTGAATTGAAGCAAAATGATTGTATTTGCTTTTGTTATGCCCAAACTTGTGAGTTGTTTTAGGCTTCCATTTGGGGTTAGTTTTGTTTTTGCCTCTGAAATGCATCTCTGGCTTGAAGCAGTCTTCTAACTTGAAGAAAGGTCCTCTGGAAAATAGGGGTGGAGTTTGTAGCCTCCCCCTGCTCCTGGACACCACACTCCAACTATTTCCATTCCTATAGCAGGAAATATAAAATCAAAACTGCTTTTAAATTGTGAGTCATAGGAAAAGAGGAAGCTGCCTTATACTCAAGTCAGATTACTGGTTCATCTACTTCAGTGTTACGTAAACTGACTGGAAGCAGCTCTCCAGGATTTCAGAAACATAAAAATACAAAATGAGAACACAAAATACAGTGATACCTCGGGTTAAGAACTTAAATTCATTCTGGAGATGTTCTTAACCTGAAACTGTTCTTAATCTGAGGTACCACTTTAGCTAATGGGGCCTGTAACCTGAAGCGTCTGTAACCTGAAGCATCTGTAACCCGAGGTACCACTGTACATAATTAAACAAGAGCGAAAACTCCAATGGGGATCTTCTACATACTGTGATAGCCTGGGGGGACCCCCTAAACTCTAGAAATTAATAAATGATAGGATTTTGATTATTTGAGGTGTGAAGGGAGAAATATAAACTGCAGAGGAATTCCTGGGCTTGGAAGGTTGCCAGGGTAACTGGGTGTGAGGTGTCAGGAAAATAAAGTTTTGAGCAGGGGTTGCTAGGAGTAAGAAGGTCTGGGATCCATCTTTAGGCAGGCTAGCTGAAGGCTGGCTGGGAGAGATGCCTTGGACTCTGGGGCTGCATAATCCTCACTCCACAAAGAATAATGGGAACTGTAGTTTACCCCTCACAGAGCTTCAATTCTCAGCACCCTCAAAGAACCAGTACTCAAAACTGGAACATCTGCAGCTATCACAGTGGAAACAGAAAACGCAGACACTGGAAGTCTCTGAAAAACTAAAGACAAGTCATTAGCTGGAAAAGGATAAGAGGATAACTTTATGACAGGACATCATTTTTTATTGCACACACAACGGATTATCATTTACAGTGGCACCCACTCACCTCACTTGCACCTGACAACTTTGGGACAATGTTTTCCTATAAGGACCCTGTGTTTGGAAGGTATGGAGTGGGAAGTGCATAATGTTGGATGGGGAGGGGGGGATAGAAAAATCTGTAAAAGATATTTAAAAACAACAACACAAAGCAATGCATGACCACTGAGTAGGGGAGGCCAGGCGCTCCTGCACATTTAAACAGCTGCATAGAAAAGCGAATTGCTGCCCTTCCAACCTTCTGAAATTCCCTTTTGTACGCCACTACTAAAAGCCCAGTCCTCTTATGCATCTGGCGCCCTAAACACTGAACCGCTCCTATTCCGCGATTCCCCCACCAGTGCCAAAAAACAAAACAAAACAAAAGTTTTAGACCAGTTATTTGGCACCAGGCGGGGTGGCAGAAAGTCAAACGTCACAAAACCACCCAGAGCAACTTCCCTCCCGGCAGGTCCGACCACATAAACCGTCCGCCGCCGTGCGCGTAGCGGTGGTGGGGAAACACCGATTCCCTTTCCTAGTTCCGCCCTCGGGACGGCCCCACCCTTGTTTTGACTCCTAACCTTCCCCTCCTTCCCACCCCCACCCCCGTCTTTCCCTCCGAGCTCTGGCGCACTGTGACGGGGGCGGGATCCGGGAGGTGCTTTTTTGCCGGCCTGAAGGGGAGATAATCTAGCCCCGCGCCGACGGTTCTCGGTCCAACAACCCGGGCGGTTGTTTCCGGGGGGACGGGAAAAAACGTCGCGCCGCTTTGGCTGGGCTGGAGATGCTGTAGCAGCGCCACGTCTCGGGCAGGAGGGAGGGAGAGAAAACATGGGAGTCCCGCTCGGGCAGGTCAGTGGGGAGGGAATGGGGCCTGGCTCGTGGGGGGAGGGGGGATTGGCTTGACCCCCGCCCCTCCACAGCAGCTGGGTGTCTTGGGGTTGGTGGGTGCTGCCAGGGGGGAGGGCAGTGGTGGCTGGAGGTGGCAGGCAGATGTTTGTTTTGAGGAGGAGGGTGGAGGAGATCAGCTGAGCTGGAGAGGGAGGGGAGCCTCTGTGTCTTTCTCTGTGTGTATGTGTGTGAGAGAGGGAATATATTAGTGCATATAATGTATTTTGGGAAATATTTGGAATGGTCTGTGTTTAGAATTCCAGGGCTGACCAATCCTATTTTTGTGTGTGTTTCTATGTGCATTACATATTAAGGAGAGGATGCAATAGTGGATGTTGTGCATTTTAAGGAAACATTCGAATGCTCAGTGGCATAAATACGTTTAAAAATCTAAGATGTTGATTCTCAATCCTATGCATGCCTAGTCAGAAGTAAGCTCTACTTAATTCAGTGAGACTTAACCCTCAGGAAGGTAGGCATAGGATTGCAGCCTAAGAGCTATGTACCCTGGAATGAAATTAATAATAATAATAATAATGTGCTTTGAAGTTCTTCTTAGATCTCTGCACAAAAACAATCTAATGTAGTGTGTGTTCTGTGTGTAAGAGAGAGGCATCCAGCTGGCTAAAAGAAAGAGGATGGAGACTTAAGCAATGGAGATGTATTTATGCCCTTATATGTGATTTTTTTCCTGCCTTCTGAATAGGAGTTCAGGGCACTGTACATGGCCCCTCCCTTTTTTTATATGCACTGCAACCCTGAGAGGTTGAAACAGAGTGACTGGCCCAAGGTTGCTCCATGAGAAGATTTTGGCCAAGTTCTGCGCCTGGCTGGAACGATTTATTAACTTTTAGGATGGAAAGGAACTCGGTGTTTGGAAGTCTGAGTGTATCGGAGCTGAATGTATGCTGTTGGTTTTTCATTGCATTTCTGCCTCAAGTTTCTTCATTCATGAACCCTGAGGCAATGTTCATCAGGGTTCTTGGGCAATCCAGGAAAAATGATCTTTTCCCAACAGATCCAACACATCCAAACTTGTTCAGGTTCAGACCATAGCCTTAGGTCTGAGTGAATTATTGGGAGTCAGCTGAGTAAAATGCTAAATTTAGATAACCCTAGAGCACCAGAAAATATTTTGATGCAAGTTACTCTATGAAAATTACCCTAAATTCCTGAAAACCTACTTTACTGGTTTAATGATACATAGCCTGTGTTTTTCTGTTTTGTTCAGTACCCTCACCTCAATTGTATGTGTGTATATTTTTGTAGGCTTTATTTTTGTATATTTTTGTAACTGCTTTAGTCCCAGAGACTTAAAATATTTATAAATGGCGGTGATCTTTTAATTCTTGGTGAAAAGTATGAGTATGCAAGGCTTTTGATCACACAAACCATATCTAAACAACAAAACCATATACGTAATAGTGCTCTATTATTTGCAACAGGGATTGCTATTTTTGGTGCATGATCTATCTTCTCATTCAATCTGATCTCTCTAAAACAGAGTTGGAGAACATGTGGTCCGCCAACTGTTGTTCCCATTGGCCTCTTCCAGCATGGCCAGTGTTCAGGGATGCTGGGAATTGTAGTCCAACAACAGCGGGAGGGACACAGGTTCTTTGGTATCCTAGAGGTTCCTTAGAGGACTAGTTGATGAGGAAAGGCTCCCTTTAAAGTAGGATGCTTAAATTCTGCTCGTCTAAAGGTTGCATTTGATTTCCGTGGTTCTTCTTTCCTCTCCAATGCAACTTTTGCTATCATGTCCCTCTTTTCAATCTGACCATCCTTGCACGGCAGTGAACCCTCCTCACAGCCCACTCTTGTCCTAATTCATTCGTCTGCAATATGATATGAGTGTTGGTTGCTCTGCCAGATGTACAAGACTTCAATAAACAAGTGCTTAGTCCTGTAAGTGAAACTGTCTGGGCACGGAAGGATAAAATAGTCTAGCTGTCCGTGGGAATGGTGAAAATAAAAGGCAACTGGTGGTACAAATTGCAAATGAAAATAGTTTATGCCTATTGCAAGGGGCAGCCTCATCATTGCTCCAATCCAGCTAGTGCCGTCAGTGTACAGATATATGTTTCATGCACAGTAACCTCATAATTTTTGTGTGGGTGGGTTACTTGGGACTTGCACCTGTCTGGTGCTTTGTTTCTTGCATCTTCATTTCACCATCTACACTCCAGATACAGCTCTGTGCTGCCCTTTCCAATCTGGTTGTTTAGTGCAGTCCTATAATAGGGACGCGGGTGGTGCTGTGGGTTAAACCACAGAGCCCTAGGGCTTGCCGATCAGAAGGTTGGCGGTTCGAATCCCCGCGACGGGGTGAGCTCCCGTTGCTCGGTCCCTGCTTCTGCCAACCTAGCAGTTCGAAAGCACGTCCAAGTGCAAGTAGATAAATAGGTACCGCTCCGGCGGGAAGGCAAACGGCGTTTCCGTGCGCTGCTCTGGTTCACCATGTGGTCATGCTGGCCACATGATCCGGAAGCTGTCGGACAAACGCCGGCTCCCTCAGGCCCATAGAGCGAGATGAGCGCCACAACCCCAGAGTCGGTCACAACTGGACCTAATGGTCAGGGGTACCTTTACCTTTACCTTATAATAGCTGCACATTTGACACTCTGGTTATGCTTTGAAGAGCTACTGGAGGCACCTCATGTTGGCTGCTTTTGTACCTTGTTTGTTCATTCTTGGTATGCGTTTAGTTTTAGGTGCTTCATATATGTTCCCATGTAAACCTCACAATAACCTTGTAAGGCAAGTAATTATTATTTCCTTATTGCATCTAAGGAACGGAGAGCAGGGAAGCTGAGTTTGTGAGGAAGTGGGTCATATCAAGCCACCTGGTCACTTAGAATGGTTTTGCTTATTTCTCTAGCTGTTTCTTTACATAGACTAATGCTGGTATGCTCTGAATACTACACGTGGGCTAAGCAAACCTTGCTTTCTAGGGAGTGCCCTTTTATCAGAAGCTTATTTGTTTAAGTATTGGGAATGTTGTGCTACTACGCAAGCTGAGCGGTTATAAACACCTGCAAAAATCAGAGCTGGTTCTGTTTCCTCCTGGGCAACCGTAGCTCAGTGGTAGAGCCTACCTGTTTGGCATGCAGAACATCCCAAGTTTGATCCCTGCCATCTCTACTTTAAAAGGTCAGGTGGCATATAATAGGCAAGATTTCACCCGGAAGCGCCACTACCAGTCAAGCTAGACCAGTGGTTCCCAAACCCTTTCCACCGTGGACCTCTTGAAGGTTGCTAATTGTCTTGGCAGACCCTTAAAATGTTTCTTCCGCCTGCTTCAGCAATTGTAATGTGTTGTGCCAGAAGCTGTACATTTTTAAATTGTATTTTTATGGCTTCTTTCATTTTCTGTATTGTATTCTTTTATATTGCATTTCGAATGCTGTATAGTACAATATAAAATACAATACAATGATAAACCATAAAACATAATAGAAGAAAAAGAGAGAGCAATAAGAATACAATTAAAAATCTGATATTTAATGCACTGTGCTCACCTTCCACAATTGCTGCTCCCACTGTTCTTCACAGACCCAGAACTGTCTGAATGAAGCTTGCCGTGGACCACCGTTTGAGATCCCCTGAGCTAGATTGAGTTCTGTGGTACTAGTTTCAGTTGATGGTGCCTGAGATTGTGGACACAACACTTGTAGCTATTTGCTGTATCGTGGGCCCTCCCAGTTCTTCCCCATCATTCAGGTTAGGCAGGTGGGTCAAGCGAGTGGTGGATGCATTATTACTCCAGCCACCCTTAAAGAGGAGGTTGTGCAACAACATCTAAAGAAGCCAGAGGTCTATGATAATGATCACCCAGTCATTAATACCATTCTTGGGCTGGGATAGTCTAAGCTGTTGTGACTCATGCTTAGGAACCTCACAACTGGATTCCTGTGATGTGCTCTGTGAAGAGCTACCCTTGAGATTGGCTCAGAAGCTGCAGCTAGGTTGCTCAGTGGGACACCTGCTGCACAACACCTGTACTGCCAATTAGCCACCGAGTCAAGTTCAAGGAGGGTGTTTTGTTATTGTTGATTCTGGCTGCTGCAGTTGCTGCAACTATGTCCTATGATTATCTGGGTTGTTTGCTTTTTTTAATTATTTTTGTTTGGATTGTGCAGCACTTTGAGATTTTGGAATTGGAAAATTTGTATGTGTATGTATAAGTAGATAGAGAGATAGATATGAAATAAACAGATAAACAAGTAGCCATAGGATCCCTGCCTATGATGGACCTGCCATGCAGAATTCAGAAGAGAGGGCAGATTTCCCCATTAATTGTGTTGCTTTTTTACGCTTTCTCTATAGGAGTGAATTAACACCCACAAGTTGATGGCCACCAACTTGGATGGCTTTAAAAGAGTAGACAAATCAATGGAGGTTAAGCCCAAGCTCTGCTTCTTCGGTCGGCATCTTCAGGATGCCTCTGAATACCAGTTAATGGGATCACCACTGGGGAGAGGTGCTGCTGAACTATGTTTCTGCTAGTGGGCTTCCTGTAGGTGTCTTGGTGGCCACCTACATATCTTGTGGCAGTGGATCCCATGTAAGGCATTTCCTGCCCCTTCATCAGCATGTAGTTCTGCCAAGGGTTCTGTGTCTGGGACATGCTAGAGCGCAACAAGAATGTTTGGATCTGGGTTTTCGATGGACACAAGTGCAATCTAGAACAGAATGTCGCAGTGTGGAGTTGCAGCTAGCCAGCCATAATCTTTCCCAAGATAAAGTGTTACCTCGGTTTAAGAAAGCCCTGTTTATGTACTATTCGGTTTACGAACTCCGCAAAACCGGAAGTAGTGTCCCGGTTTGCGAACTTTACCTCGGTCTAAGAACGGAAGCCAAACGGTGGAAGGGCACCGGCAGCGGGAGGCCTCATTAGGGAAAGCGTGCCTCGGTTTAAGAATGGTTTCAGTTTAAGAACAGACTTCTGGAACGGATTTTGTTCGTAAACTGAGGTACCACTGTATTCCATTCCATTCTCCTTCCCCTTCTTCATTTTCTGTTCTCCCTACCAACACAAACACAACCCCCTCCCCTGACATGGGGCTGCTGAGTATGTGCACTCCCTCAGAAGACTGTTTTGGGGTTCCCTCTTCCCCATTGTCCCCCCCCCCAAATTCTTCCTACTTCCAGAAACCTTTGGGTTCTGCCAAGCCAGCTATTATTTCCCTTTTGTGTATGGATGGTGCCATTTTCCCTACATGAGGTCCAAATAAAGAGAATCAGCTATTGGTTTAAGTAGTGCATGTCATTGTTCCACTGTAACAGAATGGGTTTGTTTGTTTGTTTATTTGTTTGTTTGTTTGTTTTTACAAAAAATAAAATGCCTTTTTGTCTAGAGCAGATTTCCTCAATCAAGGCCCTCCAGATGTTTTGAGACTACAATTCCCATCGTCCCTGACCACTGGTCCTGCTAGCTAGGGATCATGGGAGTTGTAGGCCAAAAGCATCTGGAGGGGCGAGACTGAGGAAGCCTGCTTTAGAGAGTGACGCAACTTAGTAATTGCTTTCCCCCCCTTCAGGCTGCTGTAATGATCTCGTGGAAATCCTGAGCTGCCTGCTGACCGGACTTGGACTGAGTTGAGTTGCCTGCTGTAAAACTACAGATGAGAAGCTTGGTATTGTGTCCTCTTGCGCAGCCTCCTTGCTGGCAGTTCTTCTGATGGATAGAACCAGGACTCGGCAGCTCTCTTGAAAAGCGAGTTTTGTTCAGCTGGGGAAATATTTCCCCTGCATCTTAATAGCATCTGCCATGGACTCTTCGGTGATCCTGCTGGAGAAGCAAGCCAGCAACGGGGGGCCCTACAGCTCTGAGCAGCCTGTGGAGATGGAGGCCAAACTGGAGCGGCCAGCAGAAGGAGATGGCCTTCATGGTAAGCTGTTTCTGCAGATCAGATTTGTGTTGCTGCGAGGAATGTGTTTCTGAAGGTAGCGAAGTCAGGCTAAGGACATAAGGCGGGCAGTGGACACCTGAGGAAGTGCCATCCCACTTTGGGCCTGTCAAGAGACACAGGTGATGTCCACTGTTTCCAGGATCTCTCCTCGTTTTGAGATTTTAGTGCAGTGGTTCCTAAAGAGCATGGCATGCCACACTGGTGTGACAGGAGAGGATGACAAGGGTGGCAAGAAGATTAAAGGACCATCAAAAAAACATTCAAATGTTTCAGTGTAGTATAGTATCTGTTTTTTATATTCAAAACAAGAGCAAGAGCATCAAGTGATAAATTTGGTGCAGTGCGAGCAAGTTTTCATTCTGAAAGGGTGGCACAGAGAAAAAAGTTTGAGAACCACTGCTGTGGTTGGTGAGCGGAGAGTTGGTTTAGACCCTGGGTGAGAATCCAGAGGCTGAGGGTAGTGGTGTGTCAGAAGGAAACTGAATATATATTTAATTTTTAATGTACATTTTTTGTAGCTATGTATTTTTGTAATGTTTTGTTTAAGTTGCCTGTTGTTGCTTTAGTTTTTTGTACATCGCTGAGACATATTTTTAATATATTAAGTAGTGTAGAAATTAAATAACCCAATCAAATCAAATAAGGTGAGCCCTGCTGGATAAGACCAGATGGCCATCTGCGTTGGGCCCCTGTGCCTGAATTCCCCCATCCTTGTCCTAGCAGGTCTGGTTGAATGGTCAGGAGCAGGCAATTTGACAGAGCTCTGCTTGAGGACCCAGAGAGCTGCAGCCAGTCAGGGTAGATAATACCCTTTACAGATTTCATATAATGCAGTTTCCTGTGTTCCCAGTGCTTTTCTTCTGGGTCCCAGGCTACCCAAACCAGGTGGGCCTTTGCCAAGGCATTTCTTATAGCGGGGATGCTTTAAAGACCTAGGATATCCTCTCTTTATAGGAAGGGGAAACAGACTGGAGACCCATCCTTCCACCCCTAAGTTCGTAAGGGATGTGAACCTAGTGCAACCCAATATTCTGCTCTTTTCCAGTGTCTAGTGTAAATGACAGCAAAGTGCCAGCTGAAGGGGAATGCCTGGTTCCAAACAGCAGCGAGGTGCCATGTGCGAATGGACCAGCATCTCGCTACCCTGTCTCTTCTGACCCCAACGGCAGCCCACGTGGGGAAGTACCAGCTCCAGGTGTGCCCGGTTTCCATGACAACCTAAAGCCGTCTCAGGGAGCTAGTGCTGAGGGCATAGTGCTTAGGAAGGAAGCGTTGCAGTCCCTCAAACTAAGCCTTCCCATGCAAGAAACCAAATTGTGTAAGCATCTGTTTATAGCGGAGCCCCCTGTTTTTTTCTCTTGCTCCAAGAAAAAAAAAAAAGCTCCCTCCCCCACTTTCCGTTACTCTCCTGGCCTCTGCAGACTCTGTCTCCAAATATCACTTCAAAAAAGCTTGATCTGATACTGTAATTTTGCTCTGTGGCAATTGGTGCTTGTGACTCTGTGTTTAACACACTTACTTTACTTAACATTGTTGGGCTGAATAAATGTTGCCATTAAAACACTGTTAAAAACAAAGGATCCTTATTGCTTTCCTTTTATTTTTCCTTTTTGCATTCCAGTTAGACAAATGCAAATTCAGAATAATTATATTGTATAAAGCCAGGCTTGTATTTTAACAGCTTGCCATAGGTGACCAGGAAATCCATGCAGGTGAATAAAAGTGCTGGCAGTGGAGAGATGAATTGCCTACTTGGTAGAAAGCTATATTTTTTCTACTAGAATCTTCTCCTTGGCCAGCATGAGAATACAGACTACATATATTAGTACGTTTATATATTTTTGCAGGCTGATAACTGTTTGTTGCACTCACTTACAAGCCTGTAACCCTGCACAACATCACCTGTTTAGATAAAAGCCCCAAACACTTGAGGTTTAGCTAGTTATTTATCTGTGGGCATTTATATCTCACCTCTTAAAATGGTCCATAATATTAAAAGTTAATGTAATGAAACAAATTGGGACGCGGGTGGCGCTGTGGGTTAAACCACAGAGCCTAGGGCTTGCTGATCAGAAGGTCGGCAGCTCGAATCCCTGCGATGGGGTGAGCTCCCATTGCTCGGTCCCAGCTCCTGCCAACCTAGCAGTTCGAAAGCACCTCAAAGTGCAAGTAGATAAATAGGTACCGCTCTGGCGGGAAGGTAAACGGCGTTTCTGTGCGCTGCTCTGGTTCGCCAGAAGCGGCTTAGCCATGCTGGCCACATGACCTGGAAGCTGTACACCGGCTCCCTCAGCCAATAAAGCGAGATGAGCGCCGCAACCCCAGAGTCGGTCACGACTGGACCTAATGGTCAGGGGTCCCTTTACCTTTACCTTTAATGAAACAAATATGAAACAAGCAGCATTAAAAAAAACAAACAATTGGCAGAGAAGAAAAGCACATAATTAAAATACTTGGGGGTGAAACTTTTGCTAAGGTCAGACAAATCTTCTTGTGGAGAGCTTTCTACAAGTGGGATGTCACCACTGAGAGTGATCGTAATAATCCGTTTTCAGATCTAACCGCAAGACCACAGTTCAGTCAACTTGTCCTGTGGCTGCCCACCCCTTCCCTCAACCCAATAAAAACATGGCGATTAGCGTTCCGCAACAGGCAGTATTCTTAATCTGGAGGGAGCTGTGAACAAGTTGCTTGAAGAGCTGTGGATCCTAAACTGTGCACTCTTAATATCAGTGCTTACACAAGGCGTTAGGGTTTGGGGCACTTTTTCCAGCTGCACGCTCACCTGGCTAAAACCGCATGCTTTGCTTATCTGCATGAATATTGTAGTAAGTCTTGAGATAGGGGTAGTCAACATAATGCCCCTCCCCAGATGTTGCAGGATTCCCAACACCCATCATCCTGACTGTTGGCCACAATGGCTGGGGCTGATGGGAATTGCAATCCAGCAACATCTGGAGGCCACCATGTTGGTTGGCCCTTGAGTTACGGAAATAAGTTTGGCATCGCCCAGCTCAGTCCTTCCACACAATTCACATATAAGCGGGACTGAAGCCAGCTTTTTATGAACAACTTATATTGAGAGATGATGCATTTCAGTGGATAGCCAGTTGGAGGAGAAGCCTGGGAATCTGGATCCAAGCCTCTGCTCAGCTCACAGTGACCTGAGGTTGTCACAGTGCCTCAGTTCCTCATTTGTAAGAGGCGACTGTACTGACCTGACCCTTGTGGGGTTATAAAAATGGAGGATTCTGAATTTGCTTTGCGTTCAATTTGCTTTGCTTTGCGTCCAATTTAAAGCAAGCAAAATCTTCAGATGTAACCAAATTATACACTGAGGTGGGTCTTGCTGACTAGTCAAACCCAAGAGCTGGAATTGATGTCCTTGTTCCCTTGAGCTGCATCTTCTCCATGACCAATTGTTAACAATCTGACAGTGCATCCCAAAATGTCTTTGTCTGTTGGTGTCTTTGAGGCACTGGGTCCCATTCTGGGCAGGGTACAGAATGGGTACTGTTAAGCCTTGGTAGATAGAAGCCTCATTGGAAGCTCACTAAATTAACTTCATTTCCCCCCAAAAAAGCATGCAACCTTTCAGTCTAGTAATTGAAATGAAAGAACTGTCACTTTTCTGCCTCTCTTGCTGTTTTTACCTTCTCCCTAATTTTTGCTAAGCAGCATACATTTCTACCCAGCCTAGTAATAGACACACACACATCTAAATACATAAAACCTGTCTTTCATCCTGTAGGTTCAGCCGATTCTTCTCTCCCTTTAGAGAAGGAAGAACAAATCAGACTTCAGGCAAGAAGGCGCCTTGAAGAACAGCTCAAACAGTATCGTGTAAAAAGGCACCAGGAGAGAGTAAGAGCCTAGCAAGTGGTTTCTCTGGTGTTTATGAATTTTATGACTTGGGAAATCCTGTAAACTGCTCCTTGATGCTGCAAAGCATCATTTGAGGTGATGCTGTGGGGTGGACTCAGTTTGCGGAGGGGGTCATTGCAGCAGTGTGATCTACATATCTCCATTCGGCCCTTTTTAAGGCCAAGAGCCGTAGCAGCTTTCACAGACAACGGGCCCCATTCAGAAGTAACAGATAGCCATGTCATGTTCTCTTGCTATATGAACAAGCTGTGGTGAACATTGGGCTTATGCACCCATCACTCCCCTATCTTCTTCAGAAGCTCTTGCCTATGGTTTTACACAAACCACAGTTCCTTGTGACATCTAAACCCGAGGAACTGTTGTTTGTTTAAAGCCTTTGTTGGTCATTAAGCCAGGATCCGATACCTTGGAAGCTGAACGCCTTGCAAGTCAAACATTTTGGCTCCCGAACGCCGCAAACCCGGAAGTGAGTGTTCCAGTTTGCGAATGTTCTTTGGAAGCCGAACATCCGACACAGCTTCCGTGGCTTCCAGTTGCGTGCGGGAAGCTCCTGCAGCCAATCGGAAGCTGCACCTTGGTTGTCAAACGTTTTGGAAGTCGAACAGATTTTGTTTGGCTTCCAAGGTACAACTGTACTACAGTTTGATCCTGGCTTGTTTTCACTAATTGTAGTTGTAATTAACTGCAATACCCTAAGTTTGGAAGTGCTGTGGCTAGCCCCAGCCATAAACCTGTGTTGGGTGGCAGTTGACACTTCCATATCACATGGGCGTGCCAGTAGTGTGCTGAGTAGTGAGCGTGCATTCACCCTCTTTATTCTCTGAGCATATACAGTGTGCATGCCCTAGAAGGTTTCTTTCCCCTCCCATCTATATTAAAAGCTAGAGGACAATTTGCCATTGAGGCTGATGCTTCTTTGACTTTCACTGGTGTGCCAATAGAGAACCTGTTGCTGGACTCCCAACCCCTGCCGTCGTTGATCATTTGCCATGCTGGCTGGGGCTGATGGGAGTTGCAGTCCAGCAACATCTCAAGGGCCACGGGCTCCCTATTTCTGTTCCATACAATCACAGATAACCAAAAACAACAGTATTTGTCTCATCAATGACCTGGTTCCATGGCTTAACTTGAATGGGTGGCCTCCTTGTGTGTCCACCTGCTGCACTCGACCAAGCCATTGTTTGGTGTAGCATGTTGTTCAAACAACACACCAAGTCATGCCATCACTCAGCTCAGCTCAATGCAGCACATAGCAGAATGACTGAGGAGGAGCAGAGTGGCTGAGATTTACTCTCTCAGAGCCCACGTTCTTAGCTATGGTTTGACTGTGTGAGATGTGCAAACCAGACTGATGTCCACCCATGGATCTTTCACAAAACCAATGGGCCTGACACTTGTTTGTTCAGGTAGAGCCATTTTGATGCGTTAACCATGCTGATGTGGCAGGGATGTTTGCTATCCCTAAATCTGGTGGTGAAGGAAGAATAAGCTGGAACTTTAAATATTAAATATAAATATAAACTTGAAGTATTACATTTAAAGTTCTCGCACTGAAAGGAGGAGACTGACTTTTGCATTCAGGAACCTCAAAAAGAAACCTTGGTTGCCGTTCTATGATGATTTCCATTTGTTTACATGATGGGCAGTTGATTGGTTTAAAATAAAACACTTTGGTGATCAGAAATTGCATTCCATTTATACTACTGCTTGTCGCCTTCTTTTTCTTGTCCAAGCAGTCTACAGCTAAAAGCCGCCCCTCCAGTACCCTCGATCCTGAGCTGATGTTTCATCCAGAGACTTTGCCGAGGGCCAGCACTGTGTCTATGACAAAAGAATACTCATTCTTGCGAACCAGCGTCCCGCGGGGACCAAAACTGGGAAGCCTGGGGCTTCCGACACAATCAAAAGAAAGGAAAAGTTCTAAATCTAACAGGTCAAGTAGAATCCGGTCTCTGGCAGACTATAGAACTGAAGATGCAGAAGGGCATGTTCCGCTTGATTCACCAAGTGGCTCCCTGAAGCAGAATCGAAGCAGCCTGACGTCTGTTGTGTCTGAGATTAGGCTAACCCCTGATCCAGATGACCGGCTGGAGAATTCCTCCCTGGCCGGAGATAGCATCTCTGATATTGACGGAAGTGAAGTAGGATTGAGGCTGGACGGCAACGAGAGCGACAGTTCTACGTACAGTAGTTTATCGGGAAGGGGGCCCTATGGCGCTTTGCTCAATTCCGAAAGCAGGCAGGGCACTTCGCTGACTGTAAATGGCCAGGAGGTCCCTTTGGATGCAGTTGGACAGTTTCCTTCCATCAGGGAAGTGTTGCAGGCTGCTGCTGCGACAGAGCACCATCCCGACGATCAGGAAGTCAATGGGGAAGTGAGAAGCAGGAGGGACAGCATTTCCAGCAGGTAAGTGCATTGCAGTGGTTTTCAAACTTTTGAACCTCCAGGGAATATTTTCCTGCCATGATTTGTCTGCGAAGGAATACCACTTGTCTCTGCTGTGAAAGGTGCTGTGGCGTCTTCTGCAGTGTGCAGTCAGCTTGTGAAGAGCATTAGCTTGGACTATTATATGAAGGCGCTTTGTGCTGACTTGGTTGGCAAGTCCATCAAGCTCAGTGCTGTCCACTCCAGGGATGGGGAGCTTGTTGCCCTCCAAATGTTGTTGGACTACAGCTTCCATCACACTTGACCACTGGCCATGCTGGTTGGGGCTGATGGAGTCCAGGAACATCTGGACGGGCTCTGATCTCCCCATCCCTGGCCTACCTTGACTCACAGCAGCTCTCAAGAAGTGTCCTGATAGGTCTGACCAAAAGGCCCCTCTAGTCCCCACAGCAGCCAGCCAGGTGCTTCCTGGGGAGCCCACAAGCTGGGAATAAGTACAGCTACCGTTCCCCAGAGACTGGTATTCAGAGGCATATGCTGCCTTTGATTCCTGGAGGCATCATTGAGCCATCATGGCTAGTAGGCAGCAGCTTGGGTGGGAGACTCCCTGGGAAGGTAGGAAGCAGCCATATACCAAATCAGACCATTGGCCCTAGTTCATTCTGCATTGTCTGCTTTGACCAGCAGCATCTTTCCAGGGTTTCAGGCAGGAGCTTTTCCCTGCCCTACCTGGGGACACCAGGAGTTGAAGCTGTGACCTTCATTGTGCAAGGTGTTACACTTTGCTACTGAGCTTGCAGTTCTTCCCAAAGCTACAGGTCCCTCATGTACGCTGCCTTGAGATCCATCATGAAACAAAGGTGGGATATGCATGGAGTAAGTGTAGTTGCAATGCATTGGGGAAGGGCCATAGCTTAGTGGTAGAATGACCGCTTTGCCATGCGGAAGGTTGCCAGTTCAATTCCCAGCATCTCCAGGTAGGACTGGGAGAGCCTCCTTTTCTGAAACCTGGGAGAGCTGCTGCCAATCAGTGTAGATAATACTGAGCCAGAATGACCAATGATGTGACTCAGTATGTAGCTACTCTGAGTGCCTTTTTGCCTAGAGGGCTGGCTATAAATGCCTTAAGTAATAAGGGAACAATATGCACCCAGACCGCCCCTGTGGGTTGACCTCTTTCTGTGTCAGGTGGTTGACTGAATCGCATTCAGCATTTTGTCATTGAAGAGGACCTTCAGTGTGTCCCCCTGTTTATGAACCTTACAGCATCCTTCTCACACAACCCATTAAGTATTTAATCCATGCACAGATCTTTCCAGCTTTTAGCACTTAACGAGACGCAAGGGTTCCTGCCCTAGATGCATTTATCCACTTTAGCCCTTTTAAGAATGGGATTACTTGTTGGTTCTCAGAAGCTTACTCGCCCATGATACTATAATGAGTTTCTCAGTGCCCATCTCTTTCAGGTCAAGTATAGAATTAGCAAGTGGTCAATATTGCAATGCCAATTGTGGTTGCTGTTCTTTCCCTTCCATCTTTCTTATAAATTGATGGCCAGTTTTTAGGTATCCTTTTGGCTCGAAAGTTATTTGAATGAAATAAAAATATTAAACACCCCATGGTTTTTTTAAAGTGTCCATTTGCAGGGCTCAGAAAATCTCCTCTCCATCATGCTCAAAAGGGACTAAATTTTCTGAGCAAGTGTAGGTTGGCTGTAAAGAGTTCCCAAGGGCATTTAGCAATGGCCCACATTGCATCGTTGTCATCATTCTGTGCCATCATCCTGCTTCAGGGTCATGATGCAGTGTCACTTTGATGTTTTCAAATGGCAGCTGCACTCATGGGGTGCGGTGGTGGCGGCAGCAGCAGCGGCATATCAGCAAGGAGGGTTGGAATCAGATTGCCTTAGTATCTTAGCTGGGGCTATGAAGAATCTATTGGGAAACAAGACCCATCCATTCAGCTCTGCTGAAAAATCAGCTCCATCATGTTGCTCCTGCCTTTGTACTCTTTCCATCCTGGTGGTATTTCAGTAAGGGGCTATCGTTTACTTAAAGAATTTTCTCCCCTCTCCCGTCCTCTTTTTCCTTTTGTGTCAAACCTTTTAGATTGTAAACTGATTCATTGTATTTAAGCCACTCTGGGAAGGGACGCGGGTGGCGCTGTGGGTAAAACCTCAGTGCCTAGGACCTGCTGATCGTAAGGTCGGTGGTTCGAATCCCTGCGTGAGCTCCCGTCGTTCGGTCCCAGCTCCTGCCCACCTAGCAGTTCGAAAGCACCCCTAAGTGCAAGTAGATAAATAGGTACCGCTTTATAGCGGGAAGGTAAACAGCGTTTCCGTGTGTGGCGCTGCTGCTGGCTCGCCAGCTGCTGCTTCATCACGCTGGCCACGTGACCTGGAAGTGTCTTCGGACAGCGCCGGCTCCTGGCCTCTCGAGCGAGATGAGCGCGCAACCCTAGAGTCGGACACGACTGGCCCGTACGGGCAGGGGTACCTTTGCCTTTTTAAGCCACCCTGGGAGCCTTTAAAAAAAAAAAAAAGAACAGCCAGGTACAAATGCTCCAAATAAGAAAATAACAGGGACAATATCATGAGCTGCGAAATAGCCATGTATGTCACTGGCACAACGTGTACATTGATAAAGTGTGCGCACTCTTTTATCTCTCCCCAGTATATCGATGGAGAGTTCTATCGCAGGCACGCATGACGAAATGTTGCAGGTCCTCAAAGAGAAGATGCATCTCGAAGGGCAGCTTGAAGCACTGTCGTTGGAAGCCAATGAGGTACAAATGACGTCACCCCTTCTGTACAGGATGTTACTGAGGCTACTTAAAGCAGGAATGGGCACCCTTCATATGAAACTGCTGGGAGAGGATGTCCAGAGTTTTGGGGTTCGGTGCCACCAGTATGCTGATGACACCAATCTGTCTCTTTTTCATCTAAATGTGAGAATGTTATTTCAGGACTTAAATCAGTGTCTTGTGTCAGTAACAGGCTGGCTGAGGGTGAACAAATTGAAGTTTAAGCGAGAAAGAGGTCTCCTAGTTGGTGGAAAGGCAGATCAGAGAATTGGGATGCAACCTGTGTTGGGTGGGCTGACATTCCTCTAACAACTCAGGTTCACAGCTTGGATGTACTCCTAGATTCAACCCTGAGTGTAGATGCCCAGGTTTCAGCAGCGGCTGGGAGTGTGCTTGCATATTTAAAACCAATGCACAATATGCACCCGTTCGTGGAGATGTCTGATCTGGGAACAGTGACACATGCCTTAGTCACAAGGCAGCCCTGCATAGGGAAGTTTTTAATGTTTGATGTTTTACTGTTCTTAATGTTTTAATTTGTTGGAAGCCACCCAGATTGGCTGTGGCAACCAAATCAGATGGGTGGCATATAAATAAATTGTTGTGGTTGTGGTTGTTATTTGGTATACTCTAAAACACTGTATGTGCGTCTGCCTTTGGAAAGTGTTCAGGAACTTCAGTGGTCCAAGATGCTTCAGGCAGATTATTGCAGAACCTTACTGCAGCACCTTATTGCAACATCTCCACTGGCTGCATGTCTGTTTCTGGGCACATTTCAGAATGCTGATTATTACCTACAAAGGCCTATACAGTTGATTCCAGGCTGTCTGAAGGACAGCATCTCCCTCTGTGAGCCTGTCAGCTTTTGAGATCTTCAAGAGAGGCCTTTTCCTCAATTCCGCCAACCTCATAGGCACGTTTGGTGAGGACATGAGAGCGGGCCTTTTCCATCGCTGCTCCCAGATTGTGGCACTCCCTACCACTGCAGGCTCGCCTGGCCGCCTCTTTGTTTTCCTTTTGCCAGCAGGCAAATACTGTTTTGTTCCCACAGGCCTTTGGCCACTAACTGGCTTTTGTGGCAGGGTCTTCTAAGACTGAAGGGACACGGGTGGCGCTGTGGGTTAAACCACAGAGCCTAGGACTTGCCGATCAGAAGGTCGGCGGTTCGAATCCCCACGACGGGGTGAGCTCCCATTGCTCGGTCCCTGTTCCTGCCAACCTAGCAGTTTGAAAGCACCTCAAAGTGCAAGTAGATAAATAGGTACTGCTCCAGCAGGAAGGTAAACAGCGTTTCCATGCGCTGCTCTGGTTCACCAGAAGCGGCTTAGTTATGCTGGCCACATGACCCAGAAGCTGTATGCTGGCTCCCTCAGCCAATAAAGCGAGATGAGTGCCGCAACCCCAGAGTTGGCCACGACTGGACCTAATGGTCAGGGGTCCCTTTACCTTTTACTTCTTAGGGTGGGTGGCATAAATGGTTCTAAGTTGTTTTGATTTGGTGGGTTTTTTAATATATGATAGCTTATTTAATTGTTCTTCAATATTTATAATGGATTGGTGTGCAATTCTGCGGCATATTGTGAGCCACCTTGGGTTCTGCACTGGGAGAAAGGCAGGCTATAAATAAAATAAATAGTTTGTGGGGTTGCAAGCTGTAGTTTTACACTGAGGAGAAAAGAGGCTGTAGAGGAGTTAGGGTGGGGTGGGGTTTTCTTTTTCAGTTGGGGGTGACATTTGTAGAAGATTATGCAAAAGCTGGATTTTAAGGAGGTACTGAAGAATCCTATGAACCTCATTTGATTTTTCCGGTGCCTTGTAAAACCATCATTGTAAAACTATTATTTTTTAATCATTGTTTTTTGTTCAGGCTCTCAAAGAAAAGACGGAACTGCAAACCCAGCTTGCTGCGTTGAACATGAAGCTTCAGTCCCAGATGGAGCACAGTCAGAGCAGCCAGCAGAGGCAAGACTCGCTGAACTCGGAGGTGGCCACTCTGAAGCAGTCTTGTTGGGACCTGGAAAGAGCCATGGCGGAACTTCAGGCTGCCTTGGAGGCCAAGAACGCCAGCCTGGCTGCCTCCAACAACGACCTGCAGGTGGCAGAAGAGCAGTACCAAAGACTGATGGGGAAGGTGGAAGACATGCAGAAAAGTGTCCTCAGCAAGGATAGCACAGGTGAGTAGGTGCTGCTCTCTTTATTCTTAACAATCATTATTTATTGAGCGGCGCTTTGTAAATCTATGTAAAATATTTATTAAATGGCTTGATCTGAAAGGCCTCCCAGCAGTGTAGTAATAAAATGGTAGAGAAAACAAAGCTAAAATCTACAAATGGATGATAGATAGATAGATAGATAGATAGATAGATAGATAGAGGGACCCCTGACCATTAGGTCCAGTCGTGACCGACTCTGGGGTTGCAGCGCTCATCTGGCTTTATTGGCTGAGGGAGCCGGCGTACAGCTTCCTGGTCATGTGGCCAGCATGACTAAGCCGCTTCTGGTGAACCAGAGCAGCGCATGGAAATGCCGTTTACCTTCCCGCTGGAGCAGTACCTATTTATCTAATTGCACTTTGACATGCTTTCGAACTGCTAGGTTGGCAGGAGCAGGGACTGAGCAACGGGAGCTCACCCCGTCGCAGGGATTCGAACCGCTGACCTTCTGATCGGCAAGTCCTAGGCTCTGTGGTTTAACCCACAGCGCCACCTGCGTCCCTCAGATAGATAGATAGATAGATAGATAGATAGATAGATAGATGCAAATAAATCTATAAAACCATCATCATTAAAGCAAAGGTAAGACCGACAAGGAGCTTTAAAAAATAAATATACAAACAAAACAAAACATGTTTTCAGCAGGTGCCTGAATCACTTTAGCGATCATAGATTTGTGCTGCCCTTTTCTGCAGCTTCTGCAGCTCTGCTATATTCAGAGAGAGGCCTCTATTGCATTTGACTTAACTGCAACAAAGCATAAAACATGTAATCGAAAAACAGTAATTAAAAAAAGCGCCGCAACCCCAGAGTCGTTCACGACTGGACTTAACCGTCAGGGGTCCTTTACGTTTTAAGAACTACAGTAATTGTTTTTAAAGGTGCGATGGAAATGTCTATAAAATTAGATGCTTGTCACTTGATCGTTGCTGCTGATCGACCTTTGTAACCTTTCAAATGATTTCCCTTGGCTTCTTAGTTCATGATCTCCGACAGCAGCTTTCCTCGTTGCAAAGTCAGCTGCAGCAGGTGCAACTGGACCGCACCACGTTGACCAATAAGCTGAAGTCGTCTCAAACAGAGATTGCGTCCCTGCAGAAAGTTCGGCACTGGTACCAGCAGCAGCTGGTTGTGGCCCAGGAGGCAAGGGTTAGGCTGCAGAGTGAGATGGCAAACATACAGGTAAGGGGGACTCTCCCTTGTTAGCCTCTGTGGCACTTCTCGGTGCACTTCAAGTTAGAAGTCAGTTCCCTTCCCCTTTGAACTGCTGTTAACTAACATCTAGTATGGCTTTTTTTCTTTCCCCTTACTGTCTTCCACAGGCTGGTCAAATGACCCAGGTGGGCATGTTGGAACATCTCAAGTTGGAGAACGTAACACTCTCCCATCAGTTAACAGAGACTCAGCACAGGTCCATCAAAGAGAAGGAGCGTATAGCTACGCAGTTGCAAAATATTGAGGTAAACTTCATAGGAATTTTCTTTCAACTCTGTCAGTATTTCCTGGAATATGGGGATTACCAAAACTTCTGAATTGTAATAGCTTAGAATACGACAGTCAGCTTAGAATACTGCAGGAATGCTGCAGTCAGAAGCAGTGTCTGGGTGGAAATTGCTGAAATGTCCATTTTTTTGATGATTTTCCTTAAAAATAGCTGGGTGGTTGTTAAAGCTCAACTTTGTCCAAAAAAGCTCAACGACTTTTATGTCTGGATTTTCACTTTTTGAAATACGGCAACCCTATCATAGCTACCTAAATATTTGTATCTATAATCTGAAAACTTCCTTTACTTGGAAGAAAGATATGCTTTTACCTTTTATTTATTTAAAAAAAAGTGCATTAGCCTAAAACACAAGCACGTAACAAGTGCTTGTTTGCATTCAGTTATAAGAGGCTGTACAATTATGTATCAGCTGATAACATATTGCATCTAAGGATGTCATTAGGGGGCTTTGAATACGAGTTGTGCTGGGAATTGCAAGTGGAGAGAGTGCTGTTGCATTCAGGCATTTGGTTGGCCACTGTTGCAACAGAATGCTGGACTAGAAGGGCCTTTGACCTGATCCAACAGAACTCTTCTTATATCCTTATGGATTGCTGTGTCTTTGGGGCTCAAATCCGGGTCTGCCAGCAGCTGCTGTGGTGGTGCTGGGAGCCAAGTGCTAGTGCAGCTCACCAACTATGTGGTGAAGGCACCTCAGTAACTCCTGCATGAAACCAAGCGGGCAGTTTTCCTGAGCAGATGCTGTCATTTCTTTGTGCTGAACTGCATACGGAAATTGCAAGTGTGTCTGGGAATATTAGAAGCAACACCAAATCAAATCATTTATTACGGTCATAGACCAGCATAAGCAGGGTGGGGAACAAGCCTCTAAAATCTGTAAAACGTTTTGGAAAGCTAAATTGATTAAAACAGAAGTTATATATAAAAGACTATAAGAATCTAAAAGAAGCTAAAAGAATCTAAAAGAAGGGTTAGGAGCATTAAACGGACGTGGAAGAGCATAAAAGGTTAGTATATAAAAGGCAATGGCTGTCAATTTACAAAGCACTCTGATATGGGTGTTCATTAAATCTAGTTTGTGGCGCAAGTCATCATCCGACGAATTTTGAATGCTGCTACACAGAACCCGGCAACATTGTATGTTGTAGCAGGGTTGGTATCTGAAAGCAGCCGGGAGGTATAGAATTGTCCTGTGCATCCTGGGTACTTATGGAGTACAGTGGTTCCTTGGTTTAAGAACAGCTTAGTTTATGAACAACTTGGATTAAGAACGCTGCAAACCCGGAAGTAGGTGTTTTGGTTTGTGAACTTTGCCTTGGAACCAGAACATGTTCCGCTTCCTGCTGAGTGTGTTCCATTTGTAAATTGAGTCCCGCGATGCTATGGGAAAGCACGCCTTGGTTTAAGAATGCTTTGGTTTAAGAACGGATTTCCGGAATGGATTAAGTTCATAAACCAAAGTACCACTGTAGTGAGGAGCTGAGGCTAATACAAATGTCTCTGTAATATAGACACTGGAGAAGCACATGCTCTATTGTTATTTTTTGTCCAGAATCGGAGGGGCATTGTCTCTCCAAGTAAGCAATCTTCCTGTATCGACCTTCAATGACAGACTAGGGGAGGGCATGACATCGTGCCAGGGTAAAGGCCCTCTGGTACTTAGGGACTTCGAGATTAGTTAGATATGCCACGCGGGAGGCAGAATACCTGATGGATTCATTGGCCATAAAAGTTGGGGTCCTGGCTAGATCCAGTTGGCGCTCTGTGTCTGCTACACATTGCTTAATGAGTGCTTTGGCTTGATCGTATCCCATACAGCCATGGATCACTGCCTTGTTGTGGTGAAGGGGCTTGAATAACTCAGAGAAGCTATGAGCTATGCAGTGCAGGGCCACCCAAGACGGACAGGTCATAGCCGAGAGTTTAGACTAAATGCGATCCACCTGGAGAAGGAGCTGGCAGTCCACTCCAGTATTTTGCCAAGAAAACTCCATGGACATAAAAATGGAGCAGCTTTGAGAAGAGAGTGAGAGTTTCCAAGGCATGCTCTGGTTCATGGGGTCACAGAGAGTCGAAGATGACTAAACAAAACAACAAAAATCCCTTACAGAGTAGAAGACTTGGAGAGAAGTCAGGTCTCTGAGATTTCAGTTGCCACTGCCTGTTTCTGTGTGGATTGAAAAACCATCATTCATAGTTAGTGGGGCAAGGCCAAGGGGAAATAAAGAAGCAACACCATTTTTCTGCCTCCCTGGGGCATTTGCAGTCTCAGCTTGCAGTACAGCACGTGGTTGTTCAGTTGCTAGCTTGCCCTCTGGTCTGAATATTTTTTTAAATAAATAATAGGACAACCTTGTCATAAGATACTTCCCCTGCCCACTGTACCACCCAAAAAAAATAAGAATGCACATTATTTATTGAATTTGGAGGGGGTAATGTGGTAAGTGAGTGATTTTTTTGGAGCAGGTTCTGGATCATCTGGGTGGGAAATTATTTTGCGGTAGTGGGTTTAGTAATTGGACTGATTTGGGGTATCTGGGGTGGGGTTTAATTTAATGTTAAAAATATTTGGGGTGATGAATAAGTGGAAGATCAACCATATGTATAGCCTAACATCAACACTGGCCTGAAGAGTCATTTCTTCAGAGCTCAGCAATCTTGATTAAGATTACATAACTTATTAAGAGAATGACGGACTGGATTGTTTGATTCCCAAAACTCCTGCCTGCATTGTGTTGGCCACTTCTTCTTTCACTCATTAGAATTGTCTGCTTCTTCCTGACAGGCTGACATGTTAGACCAGGAGGCAGCCTTCTTGCAGATCCAAGAGGCTAAGACCATGGTGGAAGAGGACTTGCAGAGAAAACTGGAGGAGTTTGAGGATGAGAAGGAGCAGCTTCAGAAAATGGCGGATTCTGCAGCAATATTGGAGCAGGAGCTAGAGCAGGTATATGCAGCTGGTAGAGCGAAGAGCTTTTCACAGAAAGCTTAGCAAAAGCATATTTATAGTTTGCATCTTACGATTGGAGAAAAACAAAACTGGAAGCAGGAAATGCAATCCAGCGAACAGGAGTTATTTTTAAAGTGCTTTTGAAAATTCTGGTGGAAGGCAAATGCTGATCATGACGAACCAGGTGTGAGGATAAGGTAGCTGCCTCCACCCGTCAACCAGCCATTTGGTAGTAGCAACAAAGGGCATTTTTATCTGAATACAGTTCTTCTCTCACTTTCTAATTCCCACCACTGCTGCTTCCTAGAGTCCGCCATCTATTAAAAGGTAAAGGTAAAGGACCCCTGACAGTTAAGTCCAGTTGCAGACACCTCTGGGGTTGCGGCGCTCATCTCACTTTACTGGCTGAGGGAGCCAGCGTTTGTCTGCAGACAGTTTTTCCGGGTCATGTGGCCAGCATGACTAAGCCACTTCTGGTGCAACGGAACACTGAAACCAGAGCAGCGCAGAGAAACGCCCTTTACCTTCCTGCCGGAGTGGTACCTATTTATCTACTTGCACTTTTTTTTTGGCGTGCTATTGAACTGCAAGGTTGGCAGGAGCTGAGACCAAGCAATGGGAGCTCATCCCGTCGTGAGGATTTGAACCGCCGACCTTCTGATCGGCAAGCCCAAGAGGCTCAGTGGTTTAGACCACAGCGCCACCTGTGTCTCCACAGCACCACCCACGTCCCCCATCTATTACACGTCTACATTCCACATCATCCTTGTTTGCCTACCACACTGGTTTCAAATTCCGACCCCCTATTCCAAGCCGCATGAAAATTGCTGCAGATCTTGGGGGACCACTTTTTTTTTTTTGGTCTGTTGTAGCAATTGCAATGCACTGTGCTAGATGCTGTAGGATTTTTAACTGTATTTTTTGTTACTTCTTTTGTTTCTTATATACAGTAACGTATTACACCTTATTTATTTATTTATTTATTTATTTATGTATTGAATGTATATACCATCCTATACCCAGGGGTCTCAGGGCAGTTCACAGAATAAAATCAAGATATAAAACCACAAAATACATAATAAAAATAAAAACAACCCAACAGCCCCCCCCCCAAAACACACATTTTGAACTGGCATAGGATGTAAACCAGATCAACCAAAGGTCTGGTTAAAAAGGAACGTTTTTGCCTGGCGCCTGAAGGTGTATAATGAAGGCGTCAGGCAGATTTCCCTGGGAAGAGCATTCCACAGATGGGGAGCCACTGCAAAGAAGGCCTGTTCTTGTGTTGCCACCCTCCAGATCTCTCAAAGAGGAGGCACACGAAGGAGGGCCTCAGAAGATTATGTCAGGGTCCGGGTAGGTTCATATGGAAAGAGGTGGTCCTTGACGTATTTCAGTCCTGAGCCATTTAAGGCTCTATAGGTCAAAACCAGCACTTTGAATTGGGCCCAGAAACGAATTGGTAGCCAGTGCAGTCGGACCAGGATCAGTGTAATATGCTCAAACTACCTTGCTCTGGTGAGCATCCTGGCCGCTGAATTCTGTACCCTGACTTCCATAGAATGCAACACCAGGAAATGCTCTTTTCCTTCCTGCCGCTGACCTAATTCCTTGGATTGGGATAGCCAACTTGGTTCCCTTCAGATGGTTTTGGGTTACAACTCGCACCAGCCCTTGTCAGCATGGCCAGTAGTCGTAGATGATGGGAGTTGTAGTCCAACAACGTCTCGGGGTACCATGCTGGCTACCTTTGCCATAGGTGATAGTACTCTAGGCTCAAGGATGGGGAACCTGTGCCTGCCTGGATGTTGTTGGTCTCCAGTTCCGTTCGGCCCCAGCCAGCATGGCAAACAGTCAAGGATGATGGGAGCTGTAGTCAGGCAACATCTGGAGGGTTCATGGGTTCCTCACTCCCACTCTATGGACCTTAAGTGCTGGGTATGTGATGTGTGCATTCATAATGGGAGAACACCCTAACACATTTTCCCTTCTATCCAGCTGAAATTGACGTTGCATCAACGAGATCTTCAGGTCGCGGCTTTGCAGCAGGAGCAGCTGGACCTCATGAAGCAGCTGACTGCCACCCAGGAGACTCTGCAGACCCGAGAGCAGTCACTGGGCGACCTACAGACACGTTACGATGAGCTGGAGGCCAGGCTGACGGAGTTGCAGGGGGAAGCCACCTCAAAAGACGACGCTATCCAGTATTTGCAGAACGAGAAGATTGTCCTAGAGGTGGCTTTGCAGGTAGCAAGAGCCGGCAAAGAAGGACTCAAGGAAGGAGTCCAACATTTAGGAGAGAGCACTGAGGCGGCATCAGATGTCCTGGAGCAGCTGAGACAAGAAATAGTTGTAAAGTCAAGCCAGGTAATACACTCTTCTTAATTGCGTTTCTGCTCTTTTATGCACTTATAATCATCAACACACCTGTAAGCCAGGGCAACCTGCACAGCAAGTGTTCACAAACCTTTTATATATATATATTTTAAATATTTTTATTGGTTTTTAACATACAAAATTATAAAACATACCGCACAATTTATCACAAATACATTCTTATTGGACTTCCATCAGCACCTCTGATAATCCTCCATCTTAATCACTTCTTACGCATTTCCTAACTTAATATTGCCTTTACATCTCTTAACATGTCATGTCTCCTTCTCCATTTTTGCAATATTTCTAATATCATTCCTCACAGAACTTCTTGCAAAATTCACAAACCATTTATAACAGGCATGGCCAATGTGGTGCCCTGCAGGTGTTATTGGACCACAATTCCCATTATAAAAAAACTATTAATTAATTTATATGCCACTTATGTTCCAGAGTGGCTTTTAAGGAACTTTTCCCTTCTTTTCCCCTGTTCTGGCTGTTGCTATTAAACAGCAGGTGCACTCTGGGATCATGTGCTGTAGAAATTACACCTGGGAAAATTCTTACTCTGGATGCCACAAAACTAGTTCACTTCTCTAGTCCTCGTCCAGAGCCCAAGTAATATTGCTATTATTATTCCACCCCAATAGGTAGAAAATCTCCAGCTTGAGAGTGCCAGTCTCAAGAAGCAAACCCAGAAGGTCAAGGAGCAGTTCCTTCAGCAAAAGGTGTGTGTCTATATAAGTGTTTTAAAATACCACATTTTTCCTTGTATATTTTCCAACTATTTTTGGGCATGCAAATTTAATTAAATGGGGGGAGGTGACTCAGAGTCATTGAGCTTTTTTTGCTTTTTGGGGGGGATTGCCCAGGGTTGTTCAGCTTTTTTTAGGGGGGGATAGCCGAAAATCGCTCACCCGCACGCAACGCAAAATCCGCCTATCGCCTGTCCCCTCACCAGCAGAAGCTGCCAATCACCCGCCCAATTGCCGGAGCGTCAGCCAATCCACACCAGCCATTGACGGAACAACCAATAACATGCCCAATAGCTGCTGACAGACACAGCAGCAACCAATCAAACGTTCACCCTATGCCCTACCCATGTATAAGACAACCCCCACCTCTAAGCATGATTTTTAAAGAAAATAACGTAGTCTTATACACGGAAAAGTACGGTAGTAAAAATAAATAAATGACTCATAAGGATGTCAGCTTATGACTGGGGAACTTGGGGTTCGAAATATCACCCTCCAGGCCTTTCTGTCTGGCTCTCAGAACTCTTCATAGACCATAGACCTCACCAAACCTACTTTCTCTTCCTCCTTGAGTGCTTGAATATGTCCTTGAATCTGGACGGAGAATAGAGGTTTGTGTGTATGTGTGTGTCGAAACTTGCCTCCTTTACAAAGGCAAAAATTTCCAGTGGTTGCTCCACCCACTTTTGCCTGTGGCCACACCCACCAGTGGCATGCAGCCTTTGGAATATTGTCAAGAAGGGAATGTGGCTCTTGAGCTGAAAAGGAGTCAACACTCCTGCTGTAGTTTTATATAGTGGTACCTCGGGTTACATACGCTTCAGGTTACATACGCTTCAGGTTACACACTCCACTAAGCCAGAAATAGTGCTTCAGGTTAAGAACTTTGCTTCAGGATAAGAACAGAAATCGGGCTCTGGTGGCGCAGCAGCAGGAGGGGGCCCTATTAGCTAAAGTGATGCTTCAGGTTAAGAACAGTTTCAGGTTAAGTACGGACCTCCGGAACGAATTAAGTACTTAACCCGAGGTACCACTGTATAGTGTAATTGCCAGACTGGTGTAGTGGTTAAGAGCGGTAGTCTTGTAATCTGGGGAACCGGGTTCGCGTCTCCGCTCCTCCACATGCAGCTGCTGGGTGACCTTGGGCCAGTCACACTTCTTTGAAGTCTCTCAGCCCCACTCACCTCACAGAGTGTTTGTTGTGGGGGAGGAAGGGAAAGGAGAATGTTAGCCGCTTTGAGACTCCTTCACCGGCAGGTGAACACTTTTTTTGGTAAATGAGTGCTTTTAACGAAAGGGTTGGTGCTGTGCTGTCTTTATAGTAATTATTGGTTTGGTTTTAATTTGTTTTGTATACATATATTTTACCAATTTTTTAAAATGGTCCCGTCCCCCCCGTTTTTTAGTGGGTCTTATTTTTAACTGTAAGCCTCCTTTGAGTCCCATCAAAGGCGGGGTATAAATAAATATGTAATGATATATAATGATAATAATAAAGCTAAGCACATCAATTTCTTTTCCAGGTGATGGTGGAAGCTTACCGGAGAGATGCAGTTTCAAAGGACCAGCTGATCAGTGAACTGAAGTCCACCAAGAAGAGGCTAGACTCTGAAGTGAAAGAGTTAAGACGGGAGCTGCTCCAGCTTCAGGGTGAAAAGAAATCTGTGGAGGTTGAGAACTCGAGGTTGGGGAAGGAAGTGTCTCGAGTTCAGCAGCAGATGGAGGAATTGGAAAGCCAGTTGCAAGCAGTCCAAAGAGAGCGAGACGACATGGAGAGAGAGTTGCAGGTGCAGATGAAGCCTTTGTTGTCCTTCTTAACGCCCATAATGCTTCGGATCAGCCTGTTGGAATACGTAGACAGTAGCTAAACTGTGATAGGAATGAGCCTAGTCTTTCCCAAAGCTCTCATGATCTCCTGCTTCTCCCTTCAGCATGGCCACAATGGAGAAATCATAAGCTTTTACTTCCTTTACAATCATTGTTTAGTGTACTATTTGAAACCTGTTTTATGAGCGATGGTGAACTCTCCTTCCTTGGAGGTCTTTAAGCAGCGGTTGGCTGTCCATCTGTCATATATGATTTCGTTGAGATTGCCGGATTGCAGGGGGTTGGACTAGATGTCCCTCGGGGTTCCTTCCAACTCTACAAATCTATGATTATTATATTCAACAATGTATTATTTGAAGTCAGCCAAATGTGGCTTGAAGTTGCCTTGTTTCAGGATAAACCATTGTTAAATTTAACCACGGTTCAGCTGGCAAAACAAGCTGTGGTTCATTAAAAAAACACAAGTGAGTCCTTCCTAATTCCTCGTGCCTGCAATGGAGTAGGATGGAGGGGAAGGACAGAACTATGAGACTAGGGGAAAGCAAGGCTCATTCCCATCATGATAAACTATGGTTTATAATGACAGTGCCGCCAGAACATTAACCTGCATAGATGTTGGAGTGATCCAGAAAGGCAGTTCATAAATTACCATCCCAGAGTAAGTTGGATTGTTTGTGGGCCATAAAAGGTCCACAATTTAGTTTTGTTTCAGTTCAGCCACTGAATGTGTCGCCTTTGCCAAGTATATAAAATTAAGACCTTTTTTAAAAAAAGATATTTATTAAGATTTTACAGAATGAAAAAAGAAAAAAGAAAAATACAAAATAAAAATAATTAAAAAACAATTCCATCTTTCCATCACTTATTTTTCATTTGCTTGTTTCCCAGACCTCCTCACACCTCCCTTTTTTGTATTCCAATTCATTTTATTAGTTCAGCAAATCCTTTCCCTCTTTGTTTATCCTAGTCTTTAATCTTAAAATATTATACCATTAAATTTTTACCTGTTAATAATCCATTTTTTCATATTCCTTATAGCGTTATAGCTAAAAACCACTTAACTTTTTATCCAACATCATTCTAACATTCATTAATTTTACAATATTTCTGTAGATAGTCTTTAAATTTCTTCCAATCTTCTTCCACCGACTCTTCTCTAAGACCTTTTTATTAGAGAAGAGCATGTAGCTTATAGTTCTCCTGTCCCGCTTTTCAGACTTTGCAGTTTGACAGAGAACAGATGTCTGCTCTAGCTGAAATGAATGAAGTATTAAAACGTCAGGTTGACGAAATGCAGCAGGAAACCAAAATGTGAGTATGACAGATTACGCCTTGCCTAGAATAGCCACAGCAACTAGTACTCATTGATATTGTTCATCAAGTGCCTATGCGGGGGGGGGGGGGGTCTGCAGTCTATTAATGGGGGCATAGTCTTCTTTTTGCCTTTTATCTGGATTTCTGATTCCTATAGCATTGATGTCATTTGTCACATAATGGTAATCTAAGAACAATGCAGCACCAAATTAGTTTTTGACATGTTGGGATCCCAAACATGCACTATTTACATGGGAGTTTCTCTTTTAATTAAAGGTAAATGGGTACTTTGAAGTAGCTTCAATTGCCTTTAAAATAAGATAAGCTTTTCTTGCCCAATGAGACTAAAAATGTATGTAAAGCAGATTAAAAAGCATTAAAGCCAAAAGAGTGGGTTTGATTCTTACAATATGCCTTTGTCTAATTGTGTGGTATGATTAATTTGCTTGCCTGTGTTAATGCGGTGCTAGTTTGTGATCCCATTTGCTACTTAATCCTCTTTAGTACCAAACTACAGTGGAATTATTGTTGGGAACATTGCCAACGTTCTGCTTTTAATGCTGTTTGTTCTTTAGCATATGCTGTCTACCACTGATGTCATATCGGTCTTCTGGGTCAGATTCAGGTTGGATTAAATTTAGAGTGATAGCCAATGTCTTAAGTAGACTCCCCCCCTCACCCGCCCCACCCAGCGGGGGACCAGCTCTGTTGCAACATCCTTGATGCAAAATGTGACAGGCTTTGGATAGTCCTTAAGCTAGCAGTTCGGAATACAGACTGATCTGACTAAGGGATATAGCCCATGGAAGTTCTCCTATGGGGCTTAATGCAGTCCCGCTTGGGCATGAGCTTGTGTAGTAGAGTGGCTAGACTAGGCCCTAGGAGGCCATGGTTCAATTCAACCCTTGGCCATGAAGCTCACTGGGTGACCTTGGGCAAATCACTGCTTCTTGCCCTAACCGTACATCATAGGGTAGTTGTGCGGATTAAATGAAGAGGGACTTTGAGAGAGTAATTCCTATCATTTCCCTAGTTATTGTGCTGTTGGGTTTATTTCAGAGTTTCCTGCCTATTTCCTTCTTTGCCCATTTCACTTAATTAACAGTTGAAAGAGAACATGATCCTAGTGAACAATGACTAAGACTGGTAATTTTTGTCTGCCTTCTGTCTCCAACTTATCCCACGGTTATAATAATAATAATTATTATTATTTTGATGGCACCCATTCATGTGTTAAGTAGATTTTAAGGGTAGCTAGATTTACACCAGCTGACCTTTATGCAAGGCATGAGAATCTCAGGATGTTTCTAAATGCTCTCCAGGTTACGTTTTTTGATATCAGACTGGTACCAGGGCCAGGAAAGTTTGTAATGGAGGGTCCCCTGTCTATTAAGTTATGTCAACTTTTTATAAACCATAGAATAAGTTCAGATTGAAACCTGCTTATTCGCATCATGGAAGAGTATAGCTGGCTGGAACCTTTAAATGTCCAGAAGGTGAGGTCCTACTTGTTCATCTTAATGTGGAGTTTTTTTGAGGTAGTTTTTTGATATAACTTTTTTAAAAAAATACTTTCAGGGCCTTTACTGAACAGAAGCAAAAAATGAAACGACTGGGCTCGGATTTGAGCACAGCACAGAAGGAGATGAAAGCAAAACACAAAGCTTACGAGAATGCAGTTGGGATCCTCAGTCGCCGGCTACAGGAAGCCCTCTCAGCAAAAGAATCATCTGAAGCAGAGCTGGCCAAGTTGAAGGCACAAATCTCTGACAGTGAAAACAGCCAGGCTGGCCTAGTAAGCAAAATTTCTGAGCAGGCCTAACTTCACTCACTTAAAACAGGAGTGGGGAGCTGAATCTGGCCCAGTGAGTCAGTTGTCTATCTCCTTCCCTCATTGGAGACCACTGGTGGGTGAGGGCACCCACCTGACGTCTAGAGGACATCAGGTGACCCTTTGGGGGGGGGCTGCACAGTTTGAAATCAAACTGTTGGGCATAAGTGCAGCCCGCAAAACATGTCTTGAAGCCGTTTGCAAGACCCAGTGATCATTGAGTTTTAGAGAGCTCTTTCAGAGTGCCTTTCCAAGTGCTCTGCAAGTTCTGAGAATCAGCTCATTGCTGGATTTTGCAGAGTGATTTGTGATGGACTCTGCACGACCCGGCGATCAACTGATGGTAAGGTTCTGCTGAGTGCTTTGCACAGGACCTGCAAAACCCCTTTTGGCTGAGCCATATATATCATATATATGATGGCAAGAGGTGTGGCACCGCCGAAATGGCCTTGTGGGGCCTAATGTTGCTTGTGGGGCCAATGTTCCACACCCAAACTTTAAGCAATTGAATTCCTACCCCAACTGAGATGCCTAACTAGACTTACTTTGTCTTTTCACCTTCAGGAAAGGATTCAGGCTCTGGAGACAGAACTGGAGGTTCTCAGCCACAGTAAGATGGTTCTAGAAAAGGAACTGCAAGAAGTGATCTCGCTCACCAGCCAGGAACTGGAGGAGTACAGAGAGAAAGTCCTTGAACTTGAGGACGAGGTAATTCTGCTGGCTTCTTGTTATCATATATCTCCTTGATGTGATGCTGCTTCTGTAGGCTGGATGCATGTAACCAGTTCCTGAGGATCAGCACTGGCCTAGGTCTGTCTAGTGGAGGCAGACTGGTGCAGAAACTGACCTATGAACTACAGCTGTTGTGCGGAATATATCTCAGCCCAAGGGCCACATTCCTTTCTGGGCAACCTTCTGGGGTCTACATGCCCGTGGTGGGCGGGGCCAGAGGCAAAAGTGGGTGGAGCCATGAATGTACATGTTAGCGTTTGTATAGAAGGCAAATAACAAAAACAACAACAACACTATTATTATTTGTACCCCACCCATCTGACTGGGTTGCCCCAGCCACTCGGGGAGGCTTCCAATATATACAGTCATACCTCGGGTTACAGACGCTTCAGGTTGTGGGTTTTTTGGGTTACGGACCCACCGAAACCTGGAAGTACCGGAATGAGTTACTTCCGGGTTTCGGCGGTCGCGCATGCACAGGAGCGCTAAATTGCGCTTTGCTCATGCACAGAAGCGCCGACTCACAACCTGCGCATGCGCAGATGCGGCGCTGCGGGTTGCGAATGTGCCCCTCGCACGGATCACGAGCGTCCACTGTATATAAAAATAATGAAACATTAAACATGAAAAAACTTCTGTATACAGTATATGCCCCTCTCTATTTAGGCAAAAATGAGGCATTATCAGATTTTAAGGATACCTTCCAGCCAGACATAAAAACACTCAAGGCCAGGCCAGTAAGGTGTGTGGCCTTGGGAAAGTACTGAGGGTCAGATGGAGAGACTTGGAAAGCTGCATTTGGTTCCTGCCCCTGAGGTTCTCAACCCCAGAACTATGGAGCTCTTAATCAAATTTCACCTCTGCCATGAGCTCAACAGCGTTGGGCACCTGCTATGGCCCATGCAGGGGTGGACTTTGGTAATCTTTTGTAATATGGCGCCCCGTGCGAGGCCAAAATTTGGTGCCCCCAAATGGATCTTCTCAGTTATGGGTTTTCTCAGTTTTGAACCCCCTCAGCTTGGTTCCCTGTGCCACCCACAGCCCATGTTCCACCAGGGCCCTACTGCCGTTTCCCAGCAGCCTCCTTGCTCTTCTACCACTGCTCTTCTGCTTTGCCCGCTATGCACCTGCTCTCTCCAAATGAGTATATAACCTCTGTGTGCTTTGCCCTGCCCTATCTCTCCCCTGGGAGGCGAGTGCCTGTTCAGGCCAAGAGAAGGAGGGAGGTAAATATGCAGCAGGAGCAGCAACCAGCAGGAGGGCCCCCCTGCTAAGAGAGTCTCTTGCCCAAGGGAACTTGCACTGCCTTTGGCAAATCTATGCTTTACAAGTCCCTTCTGCGGTATGGGGGCAATCCTGCTCTGCCTTCCAGCATTGTTACATTACAATAACGTCGTATATGTCAAGCATCTTGAACACTGAAAAAAGCTGTACAAATGCTTGTTGTAATGCCATATGTGGTGCTTGGGTTCAAGGCCTAACAGATTCCTTAGCCCTCTGGTTAATGCACGATAGCCAGTGTAACACAAGGCACTACGATGCTCTAGATTGGGCATTGACTTGTGAGTTTTGCCATGCGGGAAGCTCAGCTATGCAGCATAGGACAACATTGAAATGAATGCAGATGATGTAAGGATATCCTCCTTCAGGTCCAGACTGAACTAGATTCGCGGGTGTACCAGCTGAAGTAAACCTGATGCAACAGCTGTACCTTAAATTGTTTTGCCCAGGATGCCTCCAGGGTCTGCAGCTATACACAACACTTCTCAACTCTGCAGTTACACAAATATACTTGTTATCTCGCTTTCCTCCTCCGGGGAGAAGTGATTTTCTTTTACCGCGTGATAATTTTTGAGTTGAAAACACTGGAAATTTCTACAGCCCATTTAAAAAGTAGGGGACTCCACAGCGGACTGTCCCAAACCATCTTTTAGATTTGTATTTAAACAACCTGAAAAGCTTGGTTGAAAAAAATCAATTAATTCCTCTGTGCTGTGCGTATCTGGGCAAGTGAGGTGATACAAGGATACGTCTGGAATACAGTTTGAGTGTTTTACTTCGCTAGCTATATTTCTGTACCACCATTTAGCCAAAAAAAGTTATCTGGGCAGTGCCACAGACAAAAGTGAAACAAACAAATGAACAAACAAACATAGTCATACCTCAGTTGGATGGAGCCTGGTGCCGATAACACCAGGGTTACATGGTTGATTCCCATAAGGGACAACTGCATATTCCTGCATTTCAGAGGTTTGGGCTAGATCAGGCACCCCCAAACTCAGCAGATGTTTTGGGACTACAATTCCCATCATCCCTGACAACTGGTCCTGTTAGCTAGGGATGATGGGAGTTGTAGTCCCAAAACAGCTGGAGGGCCGAGTTTGGGGATGCCTGGGCTAGATGATCCTCTGTGTCCCTTCCAACTCTATGATTCTAGTGTCGTATCCAACTTAGTCCTACTCAGAATAGACCCATTGGCATTACTGGATGTAAGTTAGTCATGCCCATTACTTTCAGTGGGTCTCCTGTGAGTAAGAATATAAGAAGAGCCTGCTGGATCAGACCAATTGCCCATCCAGTCCGGCATCCTGTTTTCCCAGTGGCCTTCCAGATGCCTATGGAAAGCTTGCAAGCAGAACCTGGGTGCAACACCACTCTCTCCTCCTGTGGTTCCTAGCAGCTGGTGTTCAGAAGCATCCTGCCCCCAACTATGGCAGTAGCATTGGGTATAAAACAGCACCTGAATAAAGCCAGCAACAGAAATAAAGCAAAGAACTTTAAAAGCACAAAAAAAGGTTTTAATCTGTACTAGATGAGCCTCTCTGGACAGTGCATTCCAAAACTAGGTGCCACTACTGAAAAGACCCTCTCCCTAGAAGCCGTCTGACAGGTATTGGAGCAGAAGGGCTTCTGAAGATGACTTCAGGGTCTGGGAACTTCTAACAGATCATTCATCGGTTTATAAACAGGGTTTCTTCATTGTTTGCTACTCAGTGACATTCAGTGAGCCTGCAAAGTGATTCTTTATGGTGGCTGCAGTAATCGTTCCTATTGTCCATTTAGCTTCAGGAAGCCAGGGGCTTCCGGAGAAAGATAAAGCGACTGGAAGAGATGAACAAGAAGCTCTCCCTTGAGCTGGAGCATGAACGCGGGAAGCTCACTGGCCTTGGCCAGTCCAACGCAGCTCTGCGGGAACACAACCGCATCCTCGAAGCAGCGCTGGCAAAGAGAGAGGCAGACCTGGTGCAGCTGAATCTTCAGGTACTCTGAGCCATTTCTGCCTGGGCTGGTGCTGTAAATCGGTTCCAGTTCTTTAGGTTCTCATTCATTTTGGTCTGCAGTCTGTGAATATTACATAGGATCATATTGGAGTGACACGGGAAAGGGCCTTCTTGGTGGCTGCTCCCAGGCTCTGGAACTCCCTCCCTGGAGACGCTAGACTGGCTCCCTCCTTGTTGTTCTTCCACTGACCAGTGAAGACCTTCTTGTTCCAACTTGGGAACTGACTGCTTTTAATGAAGGGCTGGTGCTGTGCTGTTTTTATTGTAATTATTTGCATATTTAAATCAGATTGTATATATGTATATAGTTTTAATAATTTCAATGTTTAGTTTCCCCCCTGTGTTTTTAGTGGTTCTTGTTTTTATCTGTAAGCTGCCTTGAGTCCCATCATGGAAAAAAGCAGGGGATAAACACACAAAACCACACATTTGTACACCATTTAATCACTGTCAGCTCTAAGTGGTGCACAAGAGGCTCAATACACTAAGACTAAAAATGAGCTAAAACTCATTATAAAATCAGAGTTTGATTAAAAAGCCTGCTGGAAAGGACTTGAAATCAACCTCAACAGGAAGAGAGTTTCACAAAACTGGTCCCACAGTGCTGAATGCACAGCTCCTTGTCACTATGAACCCTACATCTGAACCATGGGGAATGTAGTTTGTTAAGGTTTCCGAGAGTTGTTCAGAGACCCCTATTCCCTTCACCGAGCTACAATTCCCAGAGTGGTTTAACAGCCAATCCCTCTTCCCAGGGTGCTGTGGGAACTGTAGCTCTGTGAGGGGAATGGGAGCCTCAGAACAACTCTCGGAAACCTTCACAAACTACACTTCCCATGATTCTTTGGGAGGATCATTGGCTTTTTCAAGTGGTATGTTGACTTTTTCCAAGTATGATGCTGCTTTAAAGAACATGTGGGGCCTTAGTTAAGCACACGTGCTTTCAGAAAGCATCAGCCAGTGCAGTGAGCAAGCCCAAGGACACCAGCTTTATGTCCTTTGTATCGGGAGGGTTCACCTTGTGGGTTTTGTTGATGGCCCAGGTCCAGGCAGTTCTGAAGCGCAAAGAGGAGGAAGACCAGCAAATGAAGCAACTAATCCAAGCCTTGAAGACGGCCTTGGAAAAGGAGAAGACAAAAGTCAACAGCCTTAAAGAACAGGTAAGAACTGGTGTGTGTGTGTGTGTGTGTGTGTGTGTGTGTGTTACTTTTCACCATGAGCATTTCATTTTAAGACTTGCCTGCACAACTGGGCAGAGGGCCCTGTGTGTGATATGCATATAAATGAGCAGCAGCCATTAAGGACTGTTGCATGATTATGGTTAAATGGCAATGAGCTGTTAAGCCTTCAGATCTTGGCTGAAGCCACAGGCTCAGTGGGTGGCCTCTGATACGCTAAGACCTCCCTAGTGCCTATTTTGGCAGCAGGAAGATGCCAAAATTGTCACATGACAGGCTTTTGCTATGATTGCCAAGGTATTGCATGTAAGTTTTTGGACTACAATTCCCATCAGCCCCAGCCAGTGTGGCCAGTTGTCTGGGATGGGAGGGGGAGTTGTAGTCCAGCAACATCTGGAGGGCAAAAGGCTCCCCAGCCTGGGAGGGGAGAGAGAGAAACCGCAGGTGCCCAGTGATAAAGATGGAGAAGGGGCAATATTTAGTTGTAGGCTTGTGGTCCTTAAACAGAGATGCAGCGGACATGGGAGAAAGGGTCAGGGAAATGGATGGGGTAGGATGGCGGAGATAGAATGATCCATACACTGGTGCTCTTTGCTGCTATAGGTTGCAACAGTCAAAGTTGAGGCAGCGCATAATCGCCGTCATTATAAAGCAGCTGCCCTTGAACTTGGCGAAGTGAAACGAGAGCTGCAGGCCAAAGAAGTCCTCATCCGGGCCCTTCAGGCTGAAGTGGACAAACTGCAGTGAGTATCACAAGGAAACTGAAACTACATTTCTATTAAAAATACGTATAGTTTGGTGTTTTGGGACAAGGTTCCATGGCTGCTTTAAAAAACCATATATTTTAGGAGGAATTGCAAGGCCTCCTCATGGGTTAACCATAAATGAAGGCCTAACACATGAATAATGGGAGTTGGGGCCAACCCACTGGGCCTGCCCCTCAACATCCCACCTGGTTCTACCCCACCGATTTCCACACATTTGGGAGCCTTTATTATTCGGGGAGGAGTCCTCACAAGTGCAGAACTTCAGAACTTCGCCCAAGAAGTGGAGGTCAAGGGATGGAGTCAGGTGGCTGAGCTGTGTTGGAAGCCAGAATGGAGAGCTGGTAACTGATGGAAGCTGCATGTATCTGCCTTATCCCCAGGAGGGGGCTCTCTTTATCCTCTGTGAAGCAGCTCTGAAAGAATTCTATCCGCTGATTGCTCTGTGCCTCCTACTGCAAGAAACACAGCAGTTCTCCTACTTTGTGGTCCTTTGGTTGCCTGCCTTTGGTGGTTACGGTCCCCCATTTTCATTCTAGCATAATTGCAACCTTGGTTGATAACGTATTGAACTAACTTTAACATGTACAGTTTATTTTATCTCCCCTCAGTGTTCTTGCCATGCCTCCTCGAGAGGTGTGCTCTGCAATCTGAGAGCTGTGTTCTCCTCAAAGTGGTGTGAAACTGTCTTTTTCTTCTAGAGTTGAAGATGGGAAGCATTCAGCAGAAGTATCCCAGTTCCAGGAAGAGCTGGCAGAAGCTCGTTCCCAGCTCCAGCTCCTCCAGAAGCAGCTGGATGAGCAACTTAGCAAGCAGCCTGCAGAAAACCAAGAGGTGAAGCATCAGTATTGCTCATTCACTGCTTCCTTACTTGAACGTCGATCCAGGGGCATTGTTAGTGATGTGACATTTGACATTATCTTTTTCTGAGTGGGCAATGATTTGATGGGTGAATCTAGGTTATTAAACAGGGCACCAATTGGGTGAAATACGTTTAATTTAAAATTACTTTATCTAGAGATTATGGCGGGGGTGGGGGAATGAATGGGATCAACTGAGGGCAAACTGAATTTATTTGGGAAATTAATTGAGAGTAAATGAATTTTAAAACGACTGATTTGGAGTTGGGAGCAAAATAATTGAAGAATTTACCTGGAGTGGGAATTTGCCGGCCTTCCTCCTGTGGCATTTTAGGTTCTAGGTTTTGCATCAATATGTATAAATTAGCAAATGCACATTTTATGCAAAATTGTGAGCTTTGCAGAGGCATCTGGTTGGGCACAGTGAGAGTAGAGTGCTGGGTTAAATAGACCATTTAGTCTGACCCAACTGGGCTCCTCTTTTGTTTTCATTAAATCTCACTGAACTTCAATGTGATTTAATTGACCTGCAGTATTACAGCTTCTTATGTAATTATATTTTGAAATACTCCCCCCCAAACCCCCCCCCCACATTTCTTAGGTTGAAGATCTCAAGTGGGAAGTGGAGCAGAAGGAGAGAGAAATCCAAGCTCTGAAGCAGCAGTTGGACTTGACTGAGCAACGCAACCAGAAGGAGTTGGAAGGTGTACAAGCCGTTTTACAGGTATTTCATTGGACTGTCAGCCAGTTGTCATGAAAGATCTGTTACAAGACATAATAAGATGCTAATGAAATAAAAGGTTTATGAGTGTTCCAAGCCTCCACCAGAGTTCAGATTCTATAAGACTTGTAAGACTACGGCTGCAATCCTATAACTCTATATGGGAGTTACCCACATTAAACTCAATGGGACTTGCTCCTGAATAGAATAGATGGGCTTGCCATCTAAAAGAAGTGACCTCTTTCCTTTTTTTTGGAATGATCTTTGGTTAATGCAGAAGGTCAATGTCTCCAACAATCCTTCTTCATTCTAGAATATCAAGACAGAGTTGGAGATGGTTCGGGATGATTTGTCCTTAACCCAAAAAGATAAAATCACGCTTCAGGCAAAAGTGACTGAACTCAAGAATAGCATGAAGACTCTACTGCAGCAGAACCAGCAACTGAAGCTGGACTTGAAGCATGGAAAGATGAAAAAGGTACTTAAGAAACACAATCTTCATCTGTATTTCATCCTTTTCCTAGAGAACACAATAATCTTAGTTTTATCATAATTAATTTGTAATGGTTCCTTTTTTGCAATAACTCCCCAAGGCTCTCAGCAATCGCCTCAAGCCCACTTTTTGTCAGAGACAAAAGTACTACATCTTCTGCGTATAATAGAGCTTAGATTATATAATTTACCGTATTTTTTGCTCTATAAGACTCACTTTTTCCCTCCTAAAAAGTAAGGGGAAATGTGTGTGCATCTTATGGAGCGAATGCAGACTGCGCAGCTATCCCAGAAGCCAGAACAGCAAGAGGGATTGCTGCTTTCACTGCACAGCGATCCCTCTTGTTGTTTTGGCTTCTGAGATTCAGAATATTTTTTTCTTGTTTTCCTCCTCCAAAAACTAGGTGCGTCTTATGGTCTGGTGCATCTTATAGAGCGAAAAATACAGTATATGAAAAGAGTAGGGGCAAAGATGCATCCCCGTTTCATTCCTTTGAGAGCAAGGATGGAGTGGGATAGATAACCGTTTCTATTATTGCCCAAAATAAAAGGGTAATACATGTAACCTTCCAAATTGTCCTCCAGTAACCATCTCAGAAATTAAGAGTCTTATCTCTAAGCTCAAAAGAGGCAAGCCCCCAGGAATTGATGGTACTTGAGAAACAACAGCAGAACAAAAGGGCTTTTCCCTGAGAACAGTTGAGCTATAAGAGCAAGACCATTGGTTGTATCTCATCCTAGACCTACTGAAATTAATGGACCTAAGTGAGTAATGTCTATTAATTTCAATGGCTGCTTTTTATTTGAAACAAATACACAGTGGCATTTATGGCTGTTAACTTAAGCTTAAATGCCTGGTGAAGTGTTAGAAGCAGCTGTTGTCTTTTCGGTAAAGAAGAAACAACGTAAATTGAGACGTGCTTCATTTTAGACTGGTCACAGAATCCAGCTTTTATTGGTTCGTAATTGTCGTATATTGAGTGAAGTGGGATTGTGCACACAGGGTAGGATGCACAGAGAGAGAGTGTGTCTCCCCCCCCCAGTACAAATGCATTGCATTATGAGCTGCTTTGAACCATCTGTCTTGGCTTATTGAACTTTCACAAGCTGCAATTAAAATAGGAAGCTTCTAATGAACTGAAAAACAGTTGTCACCAGCTTCGGAACAAGCCAGGATGTTAAGCTAACTCCCAAACCGTGGATTTATCATTATGGCTTATTTCAAAGCTGACAGCCCTAAGTTGGATGAAATGGGAAATGCATAATAAAATAATCTAAACTGCCATTTATACAGTGGCATTCATGGCTGATTAAATGTCTTGACCGTACTTGGGGGTCTAGTGAGAGCGTACTTATAAGTCATTTAAAAAAATATATTATTAAAAATATAACACACAATAATTACACAATTACAGAAAATGAAAAATAAAACAACAAACACTGAGAATTGTCTCTGAATACACCAACAAGAGGAAAAGAGAAAAATAATAATTAAAATATGTGCTTCATACATGGCAAACTGTGCTGTAGACCATAGGCCCTGTCCTACCGTATGCCTCACTGTGTAATTACACAAAGGAAACATGACAATTTTTATGCAGTCTGGGGCGACTTTATTAAAGAGCGCAGTCAATTGAACAGTATTCCAGCCCTATTTAATTCCAAAATATTTTCTTCTTGTTCTTTTTATCTATATCTATCTATCTATCTATCTATCTATCATCTATCTATCTATCTATCTATCTATCTATCTATCTATCTATCTGTTATTTAATAAAATTCATTTACCACTTTATTGTAAGAAACCTCAAACAGCTTACAAAAAAGACAGTAATATTATTGGCAAAAACAATTATAACTAATTAAGGTGTTCAAAATTTAAAACCAGCAATAAACTAAATCCGCATTCTAGATATCTGGGTTGCCGAAAACAGGTGCCGAAAAGAGTACAGTAAATCACTAAGCAGGAGTTCCAGTGCGTTAGTTGCTGCCATGGTAAAAGATTGAGTTCTTACAAATGATCTTTTTCTGCTGGTGGAAAGCATGTCTTAAGAACTGTGCTTCAGGCATTCACAATAGAGAGAGCTGCTGCTTATTGCATGTGGATTGATTTGTTTCTTCTTTCAAAAAGAGGAAAACACTGAAGGGAGAGTCAAATCCTTCAAACCCGGTGACTCCAGTGAAGATTCCTGACTGCCCGGTCCCAGCAGCTTTGCTGGAAGAGCTGCTGAAACCTTCAGCAGCTGTGAATAAAGAGCCTTTGAAAAACCTCAACAGCTGCCTCCAGCAACTCAAGTGAGTAAAATCCTGCTGTCTCTCTGGTATTTTTATTTAAACCTGCATATTACTACTTATAAGTATTTTAGCAGCTTCATGAACAGTGACATGGACAGATGGTGTTTGCTTTTTTTTGTCCGAAATGCTCAGGTCTTCTGTGTTGGAAATATGTCAATATTTATGTTCTGCTTTTAGGGTTTTTTCTTTTTCTTTCTTTTTCTTTTAAGATATATTATTATCAAATGACAACTAGTAGGATATTAGGTTAGAGACCAAGGCTGCCATCCTACTCACACTTGCTTTGGAGTTCAGAATTACGTTTTTTGTTTTGTATTTTTTTCCCCCAGAGACACAACTATCTTTAATGAGCACATAACTCATCTCTATTCACTCCCATTTAGTATACAGTTGCTCCTTTAGCAGCGCGATCCTATGCATGCTTGCTCAGAGTTGTAAATCCTAGAGTGTTCAATGGGGCTTACTTACTCCCAAGAAAGCGCTCCTAGAACTGCAATCCCAGACATATGCAGAAAGGGGTAAGTCCCACAATGGGATCCACTTCTGGAGACATGTTTGGTTCAGAATTACTTTTGAGTAGACGTGGTTAGGATTGCAGGCTAAGTGCTCCATCTCTGTGATTCTAAATGTAGAAGTCTCTATCTGTACAATTTAATTGTTTTCCTTGCCATGTACATTGCCCTCTGTCACTATTCAGTTCTACCTCCTTACCTAACACTTTGTTTTCCTCCCAGTTCTGCTTTTTGATACTGTTCTTTTCGCTTGCTAAATACCAACAAGGCAGGGTGCCAAAGGAGTCATCCTGTCCAATCCAAAGTAGACAACATGGCAGGGCATGGGGCATCTTTGCCCTCCAGATGTTGCTAGACTCCAGCTCCCATCATCCCAAACCTTTGGTCACGCTGGCTGGGGTTGATAGGAGCTGGAGTCCAAGAATTCTGAAGGGCCACAGGTTTATCCCTGCAACACAGTGTCTGTCTTGTATTTATTACATTTCCCGTATTTTCCGCTCTATAAGACGCACCAGACCACAAGACGCACCTAGTTTTTGGAGGAGGAAAACAAGAAAAAAAATATTCTGAATCTCAGAAGCCAGAACAGCAAGAGGGATCGCTGTGCAGTGAAAGCAGCAATCCCTCTTGCTGTTCTGGCTTCTGGGATAGCTGCGCAGCCTGCATTCACTCCATAAGACGCACACACATTTCCCCTTACTTTTTAGGAGGGAAAAAGTGAGTCTTATAGAGCAAAAAATACGGTATATCCCACTTTCCTTGCCAAAGAATTCAAGGCCTGGTTCTCTTCAGTTCTTCACCTTTGACGTTGCAACAAAACTGTGATGTGCATTTGGCTGGCCCAAGCTCACCCAGAGAGCTTCATGACTGAGTAGTCCTAGTTCAGCACTAACCACTACCCCATACTACACCTCTAAAGTTGGTTTCCTTTATCACCGTTAAAGTGATATAGACTCTTGTATGTTACCATTGTGAAAATGGAAAACCTGTATTTTTTCTTACAATATAGATGTTAATATAGAAGACAAGTTTTCTGGCCATCGCAGTGCAGACTTAAGAGAGGTTATAGATGATAAAGATCTGTAATCTCTCTCAAGTCTGCATTATGACAGCCAGAAATGTGTCTTCCTGAACTCTTGGTGAATCCTGTGATATAAACCCATCCCCTTGTGGAAATACTGCTAGCTGCCACTCAGCCTTCATCTGTAGTCTTGCCTTCTGACTTCATTATTTCATCCAATGAAAACTGACTGACACTAGGTTCAAGGGCAACCAAATAACAACCTTCACATAACTTAATTTCTGGAATTTTCTACCGTAAGCGTGGCAACAGCCACCAGCTTAGATTGTCTTCTCCTCGTTTTAAACCCAAGTCATGGAAAATAAGTCTGCCGATGGTAATGACTAGAGAGACCTGTAACCAAATGTTGTGGCCTAGAGTACTCCAGTGCGCCTGCTAGCCAGCCGTAACCTCTCCTGGGGTACTCCATTTCTTTTCCCTCTGTCTCCCCACCCAAACAAGTTAGCCTTCTTAGTAATCATTGGATAGTTTTGGTTCCTCCCCCTTCCCCAAGATGCTTTGTGTTTCCACAAGCCTTAGTGTTTCATGAAGGCTGCTGATACTTCTCTTGTGTGGGTGGTATCATTTTCGCTACGTAAAGAACAGTGGCACTTAGGAGAATTGCAAATGCTATAGATCAGGGGTGGCCAACTCTCAAGAGACTGCGATCTACTTTCAGAATTAAAAACTGGCAGTGATCTACCCCCGTTTTTTAGGGGTTCAGCTCCAAATTGTTGAGCTTTTTTTAGGGGTTAAAGAAAGCTTTTTGGGGGGGATTAAGTCACAAAGGGACGTGGGTGGTGCTGTGGGTTAAACCACACAGCGTAGGACTTACTTGCTGATTGGAAGGTCGACGGTTCGAATCCCTGTGATGGGGTGAGCTCCCGTTGTTCAGTCCCTGCTCCTGCCAACCTAGCAGTTCGAAAGCACGTCAAAGTGCAAGTAGATAAATAGGTACCACTCCGGCGGGAAGGTAAACGGCATTTCCGTGCGCTGCTCTGGTTCGCCAGAAGCAGCTTAATCATGCTGGCCACATGACCCGGAAGCTGTACGCCGGCTCCCTCAGCCAATAAAGCGAGATGAGTGCCGCAACCCCAGAGTCAGCCACGACTGGACCTAATGGTCAGGGATCCCTTTACCTTTTAAGTTACTCACAAAGGAATTGCTTTGGATTAAATCAGCAGCACAGAGAAAGCTTCTTTTCCTCTTCCCTTCCAGAGATCAAACAACAATGGAGGCCGGGGCAGGAGTTAGTTTTAGCGATGCTAAGGAAAGGGAGCCAGAGATCGACCGCAATATACCAAAACCTCGCAGGGATCTACCAGTACAGCAGCTCTCAACCTGTGGGTCCCCAGATGGTGTTGGACAACAACTCCCATCATCCCTAGCTAGCAAGGCCAGAGCTCAGGGATGATGGGAGTTGTAGTCCAACAACATCTGAGGACCCACAGATTGAGAACCGCTGTACCAGTAGATCGTGCTCGACCTGTTGGACATTCCTGCTATAGATGATAACAACAAATCAGAATTTCCATGTTCAGCGTCAGTTTGCCACTCAATCCTAATTGCTGAGCAACAGAGAGTGGGGTTGCTATTTTCATTGTGGACTTCTTGGAGGCATCTACTTGGCCACTGTGGAAAACTGGATGCTGGACTAGACGGGACTTTGGTCTGATCCATTAGGGCTCATATTACATTCTTATCCCACCCTTTGCTCCTTTCTGCTTAACAAAGGCAGGAGATGGACAGCCTTCAGCGTCAGATGGAAGAGCATACGATAACAGTCCACGAATCGATGTCTTCATGGACCCAGATAGAAGGGCAACTAACAGACTTTACATCTAACTTTGTTGCAACTACGACAGGCAACCAGAGCCTCTCCGTTGCAGACCTAAAGGATAATAACCTAAGTGCTGGGGAAAATGAAGAGCCGATGCAGTGACTTCTTCGCCTGTTGCTTCACTTCACAGCTGTTCGAAGTATGTGAAACATGTTCATCAGCCCTATTTGAAACCAAGTTTTAGAGAGCTCCATCTGTTCTTCCTTTTGAGTAGGGGGGGAAATGTCAGAGGCAAAACATTTGAGGATAATGCTATATTAAAATACATTTTAATCTGTCTTGGAGGAAAAAGAAATGTGATGTTTGGTCTCCAGTAAGACATTTTCATCTGTTCAGAAGTGGTTAAAGTGACTTTTGTTGCAGAGGAATGTGGGCTTCATTACGCCACTTCCAACCTTTTCTTTTGGTTAGTAAAAAAAAAGTCATATAGAAGGCTGAGGATTTTGCTGATATGCAAAGCTATGTGAGCAGAAGTGAGCACACTAAGCTCCTTCCCCCGCCCCACCCCCAGACTCATGTAGGGCAAAGGTTTGAAACAAGGAGTCTTCTCTATTTGTGGATTGCAAAATCAGGGCCAGACACTGAGGTTCTAAATTGAGCTCTCTGCATCAGGGCTTCACCCTCCATAAGTGGAAGGATGACAGGGGTGGGTGGAGCTGAGGGCATTTCTCCCCCCCCCCCCCGCCGCCCCCTTGCTCACATGGTACATTTTATATGAATTCAGAATGGCCAAATAAGACTAATGACTTGGTCTGCTGTAGACCTGAGAATATGAACCAGAACTTTCACACACCATAGGCTGGTAATTGAATCCCTTTTTGTTTGTTTGTTTTGTTTTAGAGACACACCCTTGATTGATGGAGACGACCAGTTCTAACCAATAACTTATTGGTGGCCATGAATCTCAAAACACCAACTCTGAAGTAGTTCCATTGCATCAATTGGGACTACTTCAAAGGAAATAGATTGAGGATTCACAACCAAAGGCCAGTGGAGAGCTTTGATTTCACTTTGGCAGATGCATTTTGCACCTTTTTTTTGTTGTTGTTGTTCCAGTCTTTTGAGGACTCCTCCAGTGCAGGGTGTATATAAATACTTCAACTCTGTTCTTGTCCTGGAGTATCTGTTTTTAAGTAGACTTACTCTGTAGGTTACAAATCACCAGGGGTTGGGTTTTATTTTTGCTTTGTTAATTTTTTTCGCATCTTATATTTTGGTTGGAAAATGAGATATATGTATGTATGTATGTATGTATGTATGTATGTATTGGGGCCTAAGGAAAGCCAGCCCCTAAAATACGGAGTTTTAGAAATTTACTTACTGTATATTTCAAACATGAATATACTGCCTGTAAACCCTTGTTTGTTGGCTTTAATCCCCCCTCTCCTTATGCAGGGATCCAGACCCTGCAACCCTTCAGAAGTCATTAGACTCCCACACCCACCACCCCTAACCATTGGCCATGCTGGCTGTGGCTGATGGGAGTTGGAGTCCAACGTCATCTGGTCTAATAACTAGTTAGGAGACTAGTGCTCATGTAGCTGCCTTTACAGATAGACCCTGCTGAGCTCTAATTAGCAGGCTGAAACAACATGCCTTAGGTTTTCTCTTTTTATCTACCCCCCCCCCCCACATTACTGACAACAGAAAGCCACCTTTGCTTGTGTTTTGAAGCACGTTGACTTGGCTTGATTTACTTTCTGTTTGAATATTGCCCCAGGATGCTTTAGAGAAAAAATACTGCTAGAGAACGAATGGATTGTCAGCAGTCTTGACTGAAAGATACAGAAATCTGGGATGTAACAATTGCAGAGTCCGGAACTAGAAGTTAAGGTGCAGACAAAGCTGGTTTAAAAATGATAGCTACTTGTCTTACCGCCACTGCCACTCTGCCCTGGTCTTCTGCGACATCACATTATGGTGTGCACACCTAGCTACTACCAAAAATGGTGGCAACCTCTGATTTCCTGCCATATTAAATGCAGCTCATCAGTGATGTTGGTGTGTTTTACTGACTGATGATCTTCAGTGGGTGGGCCAGGAGCCACAGCTGATCATGCCCCACCCTAAGGTGGGTCACACCAGTGACAACATTTAGCAGTAGTTGACTTAAGGGGGAGAAACAGGGAAGGCAAAATGGAAAGCAAGATAGACACGTATGGTGGGGTTCTTTTAAGCGTCCCATGTCACAAGCTGGGGTTAAAGGTGGACCCCAGCTTTGAAAAATTTTAAGATTTCTATATTAGATATTACAGTGGGGAAACAGGGTACTAGATGCATGATTGCCACTTCCATAGTATTTAGTTCTGACCTGACTTTCAGGGTAGATTGATAGCAAAAACAAAAACTCTGGGGTAAGTGGCTTTGAGGGTCTTGGGCCTCTGCATCATTCTCAAACTGCATACTGTATTAGACTCGAATTTAAACAAACTTATTGAGGGGAAGGAATGTCTTTGGATAAGGATAGTTTTATTGTGGGTTTCCTTCCAGATAACATACAGAGACCATCTTCCCATCAGGGACAGAGTATGGTATTCCCATGTTGCTTTTAAGAAAAGAAAAGAAAAACCTCCCTCACCACAACCCTGGCTTCATATTGAAGATTTGATTTTTCTACGGTTTGCATCCAATGTTTATCATATTCAGAGCAGATGTATTGAAATTAATGGACATAAATAACTTAGGTCCATTAATTTCAATGGATCTACTCCGATTATAATTTATTGGAAACATCCCATAGTCTTTTTTTTAATACTATGAACCATAATTTTGAAACTGCAGTAAAACATTTTAATATTTGCATATAGTATATGAAGGAAAGGTACTTTTAAAATGTAAATGTTTTTTGTTTCTGTTAATGTGACAATGACTATTTTATAAGACTAATCAAACTGTTATCGAGACGAAACATTGAAAGCTTTATTGATTAACCCGGATATGCTAATAGCTTTTACTAGTAAGTCTATTTTGCAGAGTAAATAGTAATGAGTGATTTCTTTTTGCTGCTGTTCACAATCTTGAAGCTTATGTACTTGCTAACTTAAAGAGGAAAAAATCTATAGTATTTAAACACCAAAGGTAATACTATGTAATGATTAATATATATTCAGCTCCCCAATTTGCACCAGTGGGATTTTCATGTTGCTGTTCTACTTAGCACACGGTATTATTTACAGGAATGATTCTCGTATTTATAAATCTTGACAACTTCTGTTCATGTGTTAAATACTAAATTAGGTAACATACCTCTTTCAGGCCTTTACCAATTCCTGACCAGCTCTTTAAAACAGAACCAGATTGTATATTCATAAAGCAGTATGTAGCCTTGTATGTCTTTCTCCTTTGGGAAAGGAAATCTTATTTCTCTTCTTATTTCCCAGCTGAAAATGCTTCCTTCCTTTAAGACATCTCCCCTCCCTTCTTTATATCTACTATTAACATGCCATTTTGACCAGGAAGGAAATAGGTCTAAACTTGAGAGAGCAAAAGAGAGCACATTTAATTAGCAACAAACCTAATTACAGAACTTTTATTGTTCTCACCCTCTGTCTTCAGAGACTGTGCCCTTTTAAAAGGTGCAGTCTTTTAAATCCATAGTTCAAGGAAAAGCTTCCAGAGCAACCACAGATTAGCCAAGTGGACAGGTGCCTCAGTTAACACTGGCATGTTTTTAGAGATCGGAAGAATCATCTTGAAGGGATCCAGTGTATAAGATTATTGGAATGTGCTTCTTTTGTTGGCTTCTTCATCCCAGAGGTCAATACCTATTAAGGTATATTTTTAATTGCAAAATGGGGAAGAAACCACAAAATGCTCTGTCTGAATATTGCAGAGGTTTGTTTGTTGTTGTTTTTTTTTAAAAAAAGCTTCAGCATTCCTTTTGGAGCATTGTTTGAGAGATTTTCTGCAGTCTTTCAGTGTTACAGTAAAAAGAAAAAGGCACATTTTATGCTTCTCTAAATTGAGTGTCTGCATTATTGCAGAATGTTGCATGTTAATTCCACTGTCTTCCAAGTTGTTTGGAAACTTGGGTACTCTGTTAACACACTTCTTCCTTTTCCTTGTGGAGGACAATGTTCTCTTTTTCCTATCAGGAAAATGTTATTGCTATTTCGGTAAAGACAAGCAGTTTTCTAGAATGACATATGCATGTTGGATGTATTGCGCATTACTGCTTCTTCAGTATGTACAATTCAGTACTTGTGGGAGTATCTATAAGCAGGTGTGCTGATCAGCATGAGAGCATTAAAGGTAGATAACTCTGATCATTATAAACCAAAATGTATCAAATTCTTCTTTGATGTGATAGACACGCAATTAAAAACAGTTAATCCCTGTAACTCTTATTTATAAGAGGGCTCTAACTATGCTGATCTTTTTACTCTTCCTCCTGAAAACTCAGAGTTAATGCTAACCTGCTGGAATTAGATGGTTTATGTCCCAGTGGCGCATATCATTCTAGCCACTAGGAAATTATCTATGAAAACCTGCCTTGCCTTGAATGGACCTGCACAGAGTTATTTGAAGAAATAATACCGGAATTTTCTCATACATATTCTGTCACATCTTAAAGGTTTCAATCAGTTGCTGTGTTGATAAGGAAAAGCATCACCTCCATAACAATGTTCAATTGGGAGTTCCAAACAAGAGAGGAGTTATGAAGTTTTTGACTTAAGGATTCATGACTGTGACCTTTTTAAAAAGCATGTTAATGAAAAAAATAATTAGGATGTGCATAAAAGTTCTTGAACAGGTTTTGTGCAATAAACTATTTTTCATAAAAAGTGTTTCCATTGTTTATTATGGTAAAATGGGGAGGGGGTGATTCAAGACAACAGCAAATTTTGAAGAGCTAACAGCACATTTTAAAGGACAGGAAATGGGGAAGATGACCCACAAGCTGATGAAGGTCAGTATACCAAGACAACAGAAGAATGGAGAGCTGTCCAAGATCAAGTTAGGGATTGAAATTCTACCAGTTCCCTGTTTTAAACAAGGAAAGTTAGAAGGATGTTAAGAGTATCTATCCAAGCTTTATAAGCTACAGTATATGTATTTTAAAAATAGGGTGGCATAGCAACTTTTATTAGGAAGTCCCAAAAAAATTTTAGACAGCGTCTGCCCTCAAGCTCCCCCTGCTGCCCAGAATCCTAACCCCTGACACACAGCAGCCAATATGCTGCAGTACAGACCCCCTATGCTGCCACCCCCCACCTGGTGCTGACTGTACACACACACACCACCCTGGGTTACCTACGCTACTGGGTGGGCTATAATTGAATTCTCAATTCAAAGGTTCTTGCATCCGTAGGATCATATCACCGTGAGGATGAGACGTGGCACCAGAACCTCTGTTCCTCTCGCTGAACTGGTTTATGATGACATCCTGCAGAACAGCAAAAGCAATAATGAAGTGGCAACTTCAAAGAAGGGGCTTTAAATGGAACCTTATCGAAGTTCTTTTGGTAACTGGCTAGAGGTGAATTTCCCAGCTATGATACACTAGAACTAGATCAACTGCCAGAAATGGCTAATTTAACGAGTAGATTAAGAGACCAGGATGAAAGAACCTGTAAGGAAGATTGGAAAAGATTTGTAGATAATTGGAAAAAATCATTGTAAAGATATTAAAACATTGACAGGATTAGAATAAATTGAGCAGTGTGAAGTATACTAAAACCAAACTGAAAAAGAAAATATGGAAAAATTAGAATATGTGTTCTAAACGGAGGGAAGGGGGGAGGGTTGACCTTCTGGAATTTTACATGGTAATGTTCAGTTATGCCATTGGAAGAACAGCTGCACTATGGTCCAAGCCCTAGTTTATTGCAGGGAATCAAAACCATAGATTCTAAAGTGTTCTGTAGCCATGCTTGTACTCCTTTGTTTCTGTGAAAAGGGTTACATAAGCAAGACAAAATAACTACCCGCAGAACAGTGATAAGGAAAAACACACATTCACAACTGCTATCAGCAAGGATGTGGGCTCAAGCCTGAGATAAATGGTTATACCAAACACTAGGATGTGCCCAGACTTGTTCTGAACAGGAAAAACAATTAGTGCCTCTAGCAATGTCACACCTGTGGGGAGGAAGCAGACAGAAAACTACAGTATTAGCACTCTGTAACCCCATCCAGGCTTTACACACACAAGGAAACCGTGAGTTGCCTCATAACATGCATGTTATGAACACTTACCTGCTATTACCCTAAGGTAAGGCTAATATTATGGGGACTAAAGGGGGACGCGGGTGGCGCTGTGGGTAAAAGCCTCAGTGCCTAGGGCTTGCCGATCGAAAGGTCGGCGGTTCGAATCCCCGTGGCAGGGTGCGCTCCCGTTGCTCGGTCCCAGCGCCTGCCAACCTAGCAGTTCGAAAGCACCTCCGGGTGCAAGTAGATAAATAGGGACCGCTTACTGGCGGGAAGGTAAACGGCGTTTTCGTGTGCTGCGCTGGCTCGCCAGATGCGGCTTTGTCACGCTGGCCACGTGACCTGGAAGTGTCTCCGGACAGCGCTGGCCCCCGGCCTCTTAAGTGAGATGGGCGCACAACCCTAGAGTCTGTCAAGACTGGCCCGTACGGGCAGGGGTACCTTTACCTTTAAGGCTAATATTGGCACATGGGTGGCGCTGTGGGCTAAACCACAGAGCCTAGGACTTGCTGATCAGAAGATTGGCGGTTCAAATCCCCGCAACAGGGTGAGCTCCCGTTGCTCGGTCCCTGCTCCTGCCAACCTAGCAGTTCAAAAGCACGTCAAAGTGCAAGTAGATAAATAGGTACTGCTCTGGCGGGAAGGTAAACAGCGTTTCTGTGCGCTGCTCTGGTTCTCCAGAAGCGGCTTAGTCATGCTGGCCACATGACCCGGAAGCTGTACGCCGGCTCCTTCGGCCAATAAAGCGAGATGAGCGCCGCAACCCCAGAGTCGGCCATGACTGGACCTAATGGTCAGGGGTTCCTTTACCCTTTACCTTTGAGGCTAATATTAATAACTTAGTTATTACACGGCCCCCATACATAAGGGCAGCCGATACTGCCAACTGATCACAGGAGAAGCACCACTGATTCAATAACTTGGGTAGACCTTTGTACAAAACACTGTCAAAATGATCTGTCAAGCTTTGACCAATCAACGTTACCGCACAGCGCCACCTAGGGTACATATCGCTGGTACTACAGCCTTACATTGCACTCCTTTCCATTCAACCCATTCTGTCAAGGGAAAAAATCCTATCAAGCCAGCAAGGCTTCAATGTAGCAACTTTTATTAATTAATTCCTGTCTAGGTCAAGGCAGTTTGCAGATGGTTACAGACTAAGGTAAACTAATATATATCTATATATATCTATATTCCAAAAACTTTTATTAGTTTTCTCTTATAACACATAGACAAAAACACAAAAGAAAAACATTATATTTGACACAACATAAAAACTGGTGTATTTACATTGCTAAAAGACTTCTTTGACACCCTCCAATCTGGATTTCATCCTATTACATATTTAGCAGTTCCCAATTTCATATTTATAACATCAGTATCTTCTTTCATTACAAACGTCTTGACCTTACTAATTGTCATCCATGGTAATCTTTATTATTAATCTTTTTCTATCCCTTAGCCTAATCTGTTACTTCTAGGGATTTCCTAATTATTTTATATTACAGTATCTCACTAAATATTCCTTAAATTTCTTCCAGTCTTACCTTCCATGGAAGAAGGTAAACTAATATAAATTCACTAAAAATCAACCACCCAACAGATCTTCTCCATTCCACCTTTGTTCCACTCAGAAAAACGATTCGGAAATATGACTCTAGAAGCCATGGCTGTGTTTGTTCTACATCTTCGACCGCAGGGAATTCTCGGACTCTACCGGGACCAGGAGCAGTTGTTTCCCCACCCCCCCTTTTCATATGCAGTGGTAAAGGCTTAATAAAATGAACCACGGAGAAGGGAAGTCGATGATAAATTTATGGTTTGTATTCGGCCAAATATTGTGCAAACTTGTAAAACGATACATAAAATTACAAAGAAATTAAATGTGGCACTTTGCAATCCGTCTGTCTCTGGGAACGTGTATGGCACATCGCCTCCCTCCCTCCCATCAACGCAGTTCTAGCCTTAGGGTTAAAGGGGCGGCGCCTCGCTCAAGGCCGCCGCCCGACTCCCGAGGGAAACTTCATTTCCCATCATGCGTCGCGGCAACATTCCCACCCGTGACGTGGCTCGATGCGATTCGGTATCGCTTCCGATGCTCCCTCATCTGTTTTTTCTTTGGATTAAAATCCCTGTCAGGGATCCAGCGGCGGGGGGAGGGGGGGGG